ACCACATCCCCAGCCCTATTTTGAATTTTATTTAGAGACAGGGTCTCACCAGTTGCTTAGCACCTCAGTTTTGCTGAGGCTGCCTTTCAATTCATGATCCTCCTGCCTCAGCCTCCTGAGCAGCTGGGATTGCAGGCGTGCGCCACCTGTGAATTATATATATTTTTCTATTTCTATGTCCATTATTCTTTTTTTTTCTAAGATGGATCTTTATCCATTAACTTGCTATTTTATTCTTTTCCTTAATTTAAAATATCTGAACAAACAAACAAAACTTCCCTCCCACATTGTTCTGCAGAGCGGGAAATTTGGAAGCATGTGATGGCTCACTGGATTTTGGAGTTGCTATGGTAACCTTGTGTCCATACTTCTTTTTCACTATTTATTTCTTGTTGCTTGGTAAGAGTTCTTTACATATTGACAGTGATGTTCTTTCATATATTTTGTAAATATTACTCCTGGTTTATGTGTTTTTTCCAGCTTTACCTATAGCACCTATTGTTATTTGGAAATATTTTAATTATTCAATATTTTAAGTAATTTAAGGCAAATTTGTTAGTCTTTTTCTTTAAGAATTTTGGGTTTTATGACTAACTTTAAATAGCCTTTCTTGCTCAAGGACTATTTTAAGATTTTCCTCATATTCTCTTATGGAACTTTATGGTTTCATATTTTTTAAAACTCTTTAGCTCTCTAAAATTAAATTTTATATTAATGTGAACTAAAAGCTCTTACTTTTTTTTCATATGCTGGTCAATGGCCCCAATTCCATTTCTACTGATTTGAAATGCTACTTTTCTCACATTACCAAACTCCTTCATGTGTAAAGGATATACACACGTATTTTCTCCCCGACTCTCTTCTGTTCTACTGGCTCGTGCGTTTATTCTTATACCATCCCATAATCTAGATGCAAGGCTTTCTAAGAACCAGAAGTCTACCTGTGCAGCTCATGGATTGGCAGGGAGGTCTACGGACACTGATCACATCTCTCCTCCAGTGGCTCCCCCCACGCTTAGCACAAAGCCAAATGAGTGACAGTGACCTGGTCTCTGCTCCCCTCTGTCCTTGTCTCCGGCCTGAGGGTGGGCCACCTGCTCACTCACTGTGCCCCAGGAGCTCTGGCCTTTGCCTCCTCCTCGAGCGCAGGACACTTGCAGTTTTCTGCCTCAAATGTTCTCTGCACAGTCGACTCCTTCCCTTCTCTGTCTTCTACAGCTTTCTCAAAGAGACCATCCCTGGCCACTGTGACTGAAGCAGCCGTGCCCGCCCCTGCCCTCCACCTCCTCCATCACAGCCCTGGTCACTGTCAGAAGCCCTGGCTTACTTACTTGTCTTCTTCTGTGTTCTCCACTGAGCTGCACCTGGGCTGCGATCTGTTGTCACTCTCCGTTACCCTGCCCCACATTCTCACAGGATAAGGACTTTACCTAACTTATTCAGCTTCACACCCCCGGTGCCTAGAACACACAAGAGGCCCTTAATAATTTTTTTCCTCATTGAATGAATGATGGAAATAAATCAGTGATGATATCAATATATAGTAAAAAGCTGTTCGTTCCTAATTTTTAAAGGATGTGTAAACCTCTTACAAGTGATAGAGATAATACAGCACAACACTGGGGTCAGTGCTATCTCAACTCAACCTCTTCCCACCATGTATCCTGAAACAAGTCACTTACCTCTCTGAGTCTCAGTGCCCTCATCTATAAAATGGGAAAAATAAGGGTAATGAGATTTCTCATAAGAAGTAAATTAAATAACAAAACGGTGCTCAGCAGAATGTCTGTGACGCTGTCGACTTTGATATACAGTATGGGGCATTATTTGAATGGTAATAGGAAAGCAGGGATCTTCCTCAATGGAAGAAGAAAATTAACTAGAAATCTATCATAAAAATCTGCCATGCCCAACAGTGTGGGCTAGAACCACTCCTGGTATTGCCCGGATACGGCAGGAGCACAGCACAGTGGCTGAGACCAGCACTGCTCCTGGGAAGGGGGCTGGGTGATGGAGTAAAACTGTTCAAAATAAGAGTGACAGTTTAGAAATGAATATATAACATTATTCTTGTGAAAGAAATTTGAAAACTCAAAGAAAATGAATTGACAAATGAAAACCAATGTAAATGAATAAAATAAAGGTCCATCAACATCTTTAAAAAAATACCTCTACACAAATGAGAAATTGTTGTTTGGCAAGATCTCAGTAAGAAGAAAATCCCAAGTCTTACTGAAAGGACTAAATAAAAACCTCCAGACACCCACGTGAACAGTATACACTGTTGCTTGCATCAAAACCCCACCTGCGTTTAGAAGAACAAGAGTAAGGAGAGTCAATGGGATTGTGAAGCACAACGAGGGTGGCCTCACCCTGGCTAATGTTTTGGCAGTGACAACACCTGTGTCATTTAAAAAAAAATATATATATATATATATAAGTTGTAAATGGACACAATACCTTTATTTTATTTTATTTTGTGGTGCCAGGGCCTCAGGCGTGCGAGGCAAGTGCTCTGCCGCTGAGCGACAACCCCAGCCCCCACCTGGGTCATTTTTAATGAAGCAGCAATAAGTCCTGCTCTCTGCTGACCTCAAATCATGTTTTCTCTCCTAGAACCATAGATGATGGTGGCTGGTCCCCACCCCCTGAGTCCCTGGGCCCCTGCTGGAGGGACTGCTGTAGCCTTGTGTCTGGCAAGGAGGGACAGAGGGTAGGGGTGGCCTTGGAGTCCTCGGTGTCCACCTGGCTGCAGAGAGGGCCAAGCGATGCCAGAGATTGGGTCTCAGCATGGCTTCGCTTCCTGGTGCCTCTGCATCACCATCTCCTGCTGCTAGCGGAGCTGCCTGAGGGCTGGGAGCCCCGGCTTCCAAGGAGGCTTAGGAGACCAAGACAAGCAGCTGTGCCTCTGCCTCCTCCATAGATGTACCCCTGCAGAGGCTCCGCCTGCTCTGATGATGCCCTACACCCCACGACCCCACAGCCTAGTCTAGCGTGGTTCCCTCTTGGTGTCGGACATTCTGAGGCTGGACACCTGCAAAATGACCTGTACCCACAACGCAGTGTCACACAGAGCACTGTCACTGCCTGTGCTCCACCCCCAGTCCTGGCTGCCTCTTTATCTCCCAGTCTGTAGTTCTACCACGTTAAGTAGCTGGAGTCACACAGTCCGTGTCCTTCCCACAGGGCTGGGCAGGCCACTTCCTCTCTCCCTCCTTTTGAGAAAACTGCTCATAACCTTATCATTTCCAGGTCACAAATGAGGACAACAAGGTGGGGAGAGGTGACGGCAGCCTGCCCAGGTCACCCAGCTGGTAAGAGCAGATCCAGGGCCCAGGATCCATCTACCTGACCCCTGTCCCCATATGATTATTCCCACTGTCCAGGAACAAACAGCCCTTCCAGCCTCTTCCTAGAGGCCAGGCCAGTGGGCCCCCACTGGGGAAGGTGAGAGTGGATCCTGTCCCTGCCTGGGCTTGCCACCTGTTCCAGGACACTGGACAGGGGGGCAGCAGGCAGCAGGTCTGGGCCCTGTCTTCACAGCTCCGGGCTGCAATCCTGGACTCCATGAGGAAGCAGGAGGTGTGGACAGGCGGGGAGGCCAGCCAGGCCCACAGCACCGGCTCCCCAGCTGAGCAGGTGAAAGCCCTTGTGGACCTGCTGGCCTGGAAGGGCAGTCAGGGTGGTCAGACCCCTCAGGTTCCTGACAGGACACCGGACTCCCCACTGGGTCCTCGCAGCAATGGTAAGCCCCAGCCGGGAGGTGGGTGTCGGAGGGGCACACCAGGTTCTTCCCCTCGCCCCCGCCCTCACCTTGTCCTCTGCAGATTCAAGGATCCGGAGGTACCGCGAGGCCCTGCTGAGCAGGATGGGAGGCGGCCCAGAGCCGAACGGCCCACCGCCCCGGCTGGCCAGCCTCCTGCTGGTGGAGGGCCTGACAGACCTGCAGCTGAGAGAGCACGACTTCACACAAGTGGAAGCCACACGTGGCCAGCAGCGCCCTGCTCGGCCCATCGGGCTGGACAGGCTCTTCCTGCCTCTGTCCCGGGTGTCCATTCCACCCCGAATCTCCATCACCGTTGGGGTGGCTGGCATGGGGAAGACCACCCTGGTGAGGCACTTTGTCCGCCTCTGGGCCCAAGGGCAGGTGGGCAGGGACTTTCTGCTGGTACTGCCCTTGACCTTCCGGGATCTCAACATCCACGAGAAGCTATCTGCCGACAGACTCCTCCGCTCAGTCTTCCCAAATACTGGGGAGGCTGGCCTGGATGTGGCCACCCAAGCCAGAGTCCTCCTGGTCCTGGATGGCCTGGACGAGTGTAAAACACCTCTGGACTTCTCCAACACTGTGGCCTGCACAGACCCCAAGAAGGAGATTCAGGTGGACCATCTGATCACCAACATTGTCCGAGGCAACCTCTTTCCAAAAGTTTCTGTTTGGATCACCTCCCGTCCCAGTGTGGCTGGCCAGATCCCAGGGGGCCTGGTAGACCGGATGACTGAGATCCGAGGCTTCACTGAGGAGGAGATCAAGGTGTGTTTGGAGCGGATGTTCCCTGAGGAACAGACCCTCCTGGGCCAGGTCCTGAGCCAGGTGCAGGCCGACAGGGCCCTGTATCTGATGTGCACCGTCCCAGCCTTCTGCAATCTCACGGGCGCAGCACTGGGCCACTTGTGTCGCAGCAGGCCAGCACTCCATGACGCAGAGCTGTGGCCTCCACGGACCCTGTGTGAGCTCTACTGTTGGTACTTTCAAATGGCCCTCAGCAGGGAAGGGCAGGAGAAGGGCAAGGTGAGCCCTCGGATTGAGCAGGTAGCCCATGGTGGTCGCAAGATGGTGGGGACGCTGGGCCGGCTGGCCTTCCACGGGCTGGTCAAGAGGAAGTACGTGTTTTATGAGCAAGACATGAAGGCATTTGGTGTGGACCTCACTCTGTTGCAGGGCGCCCTGTGTAGCTGCTTTCTGCAGCGGGAGGAGACGCTGGCCTCTTCGGTGGCTTACTGTTTCACCCACCTGTCCCTGCAGGAGTTTGTGGCAGCCGCGTATTACTACAGCGCCTCCAGGAGGGCCATCTTTGACCTATTCACTGAGAGCGGCATGTCCTGGCCCAGGCTGGGCTTCCTCACGCATTTCAGGAGTGCAGCCCAACGGGCCATGCAGGCCGAGGACGGGAGACTGGACGTGTTCCTGCGCTTCCTCTCTGGCCTCTTGTCTCCAAGGGTTAATGCCCTGCTGGCTGGCTCCCTGCTGGCCCAGGGCGAGCACCAGAGCTACAGGGCCCAGGTGGCTGAGCTCCTGCAGGGGTGCCTGCACCGTGACACTGCAGTCTGTGCCCGTGCAGTCAATGTCCTGCACTGCCTGAACGAGCTGCAGCACACGGAGCTGGTCCGCAGCATGGCGGAGGCCATGGAGAGTGGGGCCCTAGCCAGGCTAACCGGCCCTGCACACCGTGCTGCCCTGGCCTATCTCCTGCAGGTGTCTGACACCTGTGCCCGGGAGGCCAACCTGTCCCTGTGCCTCAGCCAGGGTGTCCTCCAGAGCCTGCTGCCCCAGCTGCTCTACTGCCGGAGCCTCAGGTGGGCATGGGTTGTGGGCCAAGGAATGAGCAGGACTTGGAATGGTTCCTCCTTCCACTGTGTCCCCTGGGTTAGTCACCTGGTGTGCGATAACAAAGTTCCAAAACTGCACCCAGTTTTTTTTTTTTAAGGTGTATTTTTAGTTGTAGGTGGATACTATACTTTTATTTTGTTTAAAATATAGTTTTATTTTAGTTATAGGTGGACACAATATCTCTATTTATTTTTATGTGGTGCTGAGGATCGAACCCAGTGCCTCACCATGCTAGGCGAGTGCTCTCCCTCTGAGCCACAACCCCAGCCCTGCACCCAGTTTTAATACCACAGAAATTCTTTCTCTCACAGTCCTGGAGGCCAGAAGTCTGAAATCAAGGCATTGGCAGGTCCTTGCTCCTTCTGAAACCTGTAGGGAGGACCCTTCTTACCTCTCTAGCTCCTGGCATCTGCCAGCAATCCTTGGTGCTCTTTGGCTTGTAGCTGCCTCCTTCCAGACTCGGCCTCCTTTGTCAAGTGGCCATCTTCTGTGTCTCTGTCTTCACATGGTCCTGCCTCTCCTGTAAGGACACCATGACCCTAGATTATAGGCCCCCTACTCCAGTATGACCTCCTCTTAACTGTTATATCTGCAATGTTCCTATTTCCAAATAAGGCCACATTCTTATGGCACTGGGGGTTAGGACTTCAACAAATGCTTTTTTGGGGAACACAATCCTACCCTTTAATAAACAGCCTCTGAGCCATCCAGTGCTGATGGAAGCCACACCCACTGACTCTACCCTTAGCCCATGCTCTGTTCACTGCTCTGGCCTCAGCAAGTGGGGAGGAAATGGTGTAGGATGAAGCCCTGATGACAGCTCGCTCATGCATTCTCAACAGAGTTAAGGCTGGGCACAATGGCACATGCCTGTAATCCCAGCAGCTCAGGAGTCTGAGGCAGGAGGATTGTAAGTTCAAAGGCAGCCGCAGCAACTTAATGAGGCCCTAAGCAATCCAGTAAGACCCTGTCTCTAAAAAAATATAAGATGTAGCTCAGTGGTTAAGCGCCTTTGGGTTCAATCTTGGGTACCAAAAAAAAAAAAAAAAAAAAGTAGAAGAGCTAGCAGACTGTGTCTCTTAGAGGCACCTGTGAATGGGGTTATTGGGACAGTAACCCCTGGAAGAACCCCCTGAGTAGGAACCCCAGGGATCATAGGCACTGGGTCCCAGGGTTCCCCCTGTAGGGAAGGTCTGAGCATTGCATAGAGGTAGCTCTCTGAGCTTTAGCATGGTGCTGTGGGATGGGGGCTGCCCTGGGCCATTCACCCCCCCCATCCCCCGCTATTGCTGCCCCTGGCCAGGCTGGATACCAACCAGTTCCAGGACCCTGTGATGGAGTTGCTGGGCAGCGTGCTGAGTGGGAAGGACTGTCGCATTCAGAAGATCAGGTAACGCTGACCTGGGAAACCCCACCTGGGGTGCCCACCTGTGTCATGGGGTGTGAGATCCCTTTCCCACTATCCTTTCTGGCCAGTGGCGCCCTTGAGCAGAGGGATCTTTGCAGTGTATGGCTCTGGATGCAGTCTGTTTGCTTTAGCCCATGCTAGAAAGTGCCAGAGACTCAGGCATCTCCTCTTTAAGAAGAGGGAAACGTCCCGGTGAGGCTCGGGCACTGTGTGTGCTATCATAGCTCCTGGCACGAGGTTCTCGCAGCTCCCTTCAATGTCTGCTTTCAAGCTATACTCTTGGCACAGGATTGCATGTTTAATTAAAATTCAAAAACTCAATTTCAAAAAGTTTTAATTTTAATTAAAATTTAATGCATCTGGGCATGGTGACTCCTGTCTAGAATTCCAGCTACTTGGGGGCTGAGGCACGTTCATTCACAAGTTGGAGGCCTGCCTTGGAGACTTAGCCAGACCCTGTCTCAAAATAAAAAATAAAAAAGGTCCGGAGATGGAGCCCAGTGGCAGAGCACCTCCCTGGATTCAACCTCCAGTACCAAAAAAAAAAAAAAAAAAAAAAAATGTGGAGGGCTAGACACATTTTACTACAGCCACACACTCTCTTTCCCCTCTGCTCCTCACTCTCTTTCCCTTCTCTCTCATTGGTCCTCAATGACACATCCTTGTTTCCAATGTCCAAGGTAATCTGCAAAAAACACACAACTGCTTGTGAAATATTACTTATAAAACATTATGAGCCCCTAGGCTGTCTAGAATTTGAGAACTTTTATGTAGGAGGAGGCCTGGATGATAGATGTTCCTTGAATTCTTTTTTGTGTGTGTGTGTGTGTGCTGGGGATTGAACCCAGGGCCTTGTGCATGCAAGGCAAGCACTCTACCAACTGAGCTATATCCCCAGCCCCTTGAATCCTTTTTTTTTTTTTTTTAATTTTTAACTTTTTTTTAATAGTTGTAGATGGACAGAATGCTTTTATTTTATTGGTTTATTTTTATGTGGTGCTGAGGATCGAACCCAGTGCCTCTTGCATACTGGGCAAGCGCTTTGCGACTAAGCTACGCCAGTCCCCCTTGAATTCTTTTTTAAGCAATAGAATCCTTTTAAAAAATGACATGTCAGGCAGAACCCCAATGAATAAACCAGACAAAAGGGGAACTTCATGATTGAAAGAAGGGATGTGGGGGGCCACAGCCTGGCCCATTTCGTTCCCCCTCATCCTCCTGTTGGCTACTGAAGCTTTCCCCAGAGTCAGGAGGGGCCCTAGGAGAATAGCTTGAAAAGTGCCTGGGGACTCTAGTTGAACACCATATCCCATGAGCTGAAGATCCTATAGAACTATAGAGACATCTCGACTGCCGTCAAAACAACAGTAAATAAATCAGGGGTGTGTGTGTGTTTGTGTGTGTGTGTGTTGTTTTCTTCCTGAGGGTCAGTTTACAATACCTCTCTCTGGGGGCCATATAGCAGATTTCTGTAATTGCCATAAGTCTTGGCTCTCATTTGGGTAGAAAATTTCCTCTAAAACTCTTTGCCAGGGTGAGGGTCTGTTGGGCCTCTCCGTCCCTACTTGTCTAGGCTCAGGGACTTTCTTGTGATCAGCTTTCTGCTCCAGGGGTCAGTCACCTGGTTTCTGCCTATTTGGGGGCTCTGATGATTCAGATACTTGAGGCTAATCACGGGCACTGCGTTAAGGAGGAGGTGATGAGATTCTGCACCTGAAGTAATCACTCCTGTCTCTCTCCTCGGGCAGCCTGGCTGAGAACCAGATCAGTAACAAAGGGGCCAAAGCTCTGGCCAGATCCCTCCTGGTCAACAGAAGTCTGACGGCTCTGGAGTAAGTAGGACACCTAAGGCCACTGGAACAAGGAGAGTTTTAAGCCATCTCCCTCCTATGAAGTGACTGGGTCTTATCTGTCCTTCCCTGATGCCCCAGACTCAGCCCTGGTAGACTCTGGGCATGGCGTTCTGTCCCATTTAGGACAGGTTTCACCTCCCTGCAGCCCACGTTTTCCTGGATGGCTGGAAGGACAGCCGAGCTTGCAAAGTCACGGCTCCTCAGCTGTTGAGCTTCACCCTTAATAGCAGCCAGTTTTCAGCCCTCAACTCAGCTCGTCGTTCTCATCTCCACCCTGGAACTGGGCTCGCTGGGCTACCAGCCCTGCTTCCTTTCCCCATCATGTCAGCTATCTGGAGAGACACTCCCTCCTTGCTCACTTATTAAGGATCCCTTCCCTGGTTCCACCAGGTGTGAAATGCTAAACCCTCACGCATTCCCTTCAAAGATCCCAGATCTGAAGGTCTGTGTACTTTCTGTCCCTCCTCTCCTCCCTGAGAGTCATTTTTCTCTGTCAGCCTCCGCAGTAACACCATTGGACCACAGGGAGCCAAGGCGCTGGCTGAAGCTCTGAAGATTAACCGCACTCTGACCTCTCTGAGGTACGTGTCTCCTGCTCCCAACCTCCAGGAGAGGGCCTGCAAAACCCTTGCCTCAGGAGGCACCTATGGAGTGGGAGGTGATTCAAAATGGTGGGCATGGGACACCAGCTTTCACCCACTGGGTACCAGAGCTTGTATCCTAAGCAAACTTCACGTTCTAACCCTTCCTTCCTCTTTGTGCCTCTGTAACTCCACAGTCATGGCGTTAGACTTCCCCTGTAAGCTGCCTTCTTGAAAGGGCAACATTTGGTGTGGTTGACTGTGTCCTTTTCAGGAGCCTGTGGCTGTGTCCATCCTTAGTTGAGTGGGTACCACTGTTCTGTCGTTTTGCCATTTGTTTATTATTAGTATTACTCACATAATACCATTTTGAAGTACCCAGGTAACTGGTGTTAGTACACTCAGCGCTATGTCACCATGCCTCAATCTCGTTCTGAAATGTTTTTGTCATCACAAAGGATTCTTGTACACGTTAGCTGTCACTTTCCATTCTCCCTTCTCTCCAGCCCCTCTCGTAAACCAATCCTTCCTCTCTGACTGGATTCACCCATTCTGGACATTTCATCTGAATGGAATCAATGGTGCCAGGTCCATTGATGACATGGCTCTTTCTTCTCTCCTGTTTGGCTCCTTTGTCTTTTTCCTGCAAGGTGGAATGAATGGGGTGAACCTCAAACTTCTGACCCATCTGGATAGGCCCTATAACAAGTAATGGCATGCACTGGTGCTTCATTCTATTTTATGGATAATACTCTTTTGAATGGAGAGGCCATGATTGGTTTACCCATTCACCCATCAATGAGTATTTGTGCTGTTTCCTCCTTTTGGCCATAATCAATAATACTGCTATGAATATTTGTGTGCAAATATTCAAGTGCCTGTTTTCAATTCTTTGGGATATATACCTAGGAATGGAATTGCGGGGTCACCTGCTAACTCTGTTTAACCTTCTGAGGAGCTGCCAAGACTCTCTTCCATAGAGGCTGTGTGAGGGTTCCCAACAGCAGTGTGAGGGTTCCAGTTTCTCATTATCCTTGCCGGTAATTGAGTACTGTGGCTTTTAGGTGCAATGGGCTATTGATGATTTTGTTATTGTTTGACAGAAGCATGGGCATCTTGCTCTCACTTAGTAGGCATGGGCTTGGAACCAGTGAAGGAAGGGCTGACTCTAGTGGGCAGTGAGGAGGGCACATAATGGTCAGGGCCTCTTCTCACTAAGGCCAGCTGCTGCCCTCTCAGCAGGTACCCTGTGGAGGTGCCTCCACTGCAGGGAGCTCAGGCCACACCAGGAATTCTCTTGTGCTCCATCAGCAATATACTCCTTCCTGCCTCCACAGCCTCCAGAGCAACATGATCAAGGATGATGGTGCCAGGTCCATGGCAGAGGCCTTGGCCTCCAACCAGACCCTCTCCCTGCTGCAGTGAGTGGACACATCTCCCCTCTCTTCTCCCACCTCCCCTCTCTCCTGTTTGGCCCCTTCTTTTCCTGCAAGGAGAAATGGATGGGGTGAGGCTGAAGCTTTCTGACCCCTCTGGATGGCCCCAGGATAACTTGATGCTCACTGCTTTTCCAGAGAATAGATGTGGGGAAATTATTGGAAATAAAACCTCTTGTCAAACCAGAAAGCCCTCTCCACAAACACAGGAACGAACACAACAGTCTTATTGTTGAATAAGCATTCAGGACTGATTGCAGCCCTTTTCTGCAGCCCAGCAGATAGGACCCATCCCTTACACTCTCAAGATAAATGACAACTTATAAGAAAACACATTATTATTATTAATATTATTATTATTTTTTTTAGTACTAGGGATTGAACCCAGGGCCTCATGCATGCTAAGCAAGTGCTCTTTTTTTTTTCATTTAGCCTTTTTGAAAAATATTTGTTTTAGTTGTTGATAGTCCTTTATTTTATTTATGTATTCATATGTGGTGCTGAGAATTGAACCCAGTGCCTCACACATGCCAGGCAAGTGCGCTACCACTGAGCCCCAGCCCCAGCCCCAAGTAAGTCCTCTTCTTATTTTTATTTTGAGACAGAGTCTTGCCAAGTTGACCAGGTTGGCCTCAAACTTGCAATCCTCTGGCCTCAGTCTCCTAAGTAGCTTGATGACGCCATTTGTCACTTATAGCTTATCCTACAGTCACCAAATAATTTGGGGGTGATCATCTATTTCCCCAGTTGCTTTTATCTAAGGGAAAAATAAAATTTTTTCTGTCTTTATGACAAGCAGGTACTCACAACAGGTGCCCAGGCTAATTCCCACAGAAGCAGGAAGACAGGGACCATCCCTTGCTAGATTTTTACCTGTACAGAGACCCTGAGAAAGACATTCCTAGGCTGTGAAATGGGCAGGAAGTTGATTGAGCTCTTAAAGAGACTTGCATATTTCTCAACAGGACAGAGAGTACTTGCAACCTCATGTGTCCTCTAAGAGAGTGGTGGTTGTCTCTTTTCTTTTTGGAAGATTACTTTTTTTTTTTAAGGCTCTATTCGGCCTCATGTAGGAGGCTCTGTCCTGTTGATCCTCCTATCCCTCTCCCCAGAGGTTCTCAAGGTGGGGGGGCAGGCTACTGGCTGGTCTAGATGGAAGACTGACAGATGAGGGCCCAGCAGGTCTTGTGCATGTAGGTCCCCCATGCAGGAAGGTGCTGGCTCTATCAGCAGCCACTGATTGCCACTTACATGGGAGGCCCCAGCTGCTCTTGTCCCTTGTTCTCCCACATAAAAACATCACCAGACCCTCTGAGACCCCTTCCCACTGCTGTACAAATGGAGACATGCTCCAACTTTTCTCTACCTCTTGCCCTGAACCTAGACTGTCCTTGGCCTGGCAATAGCTGTGGTCAGATTTGCTGATGGACCCCTCTTGTCTCCCACAGCCTGCAGAAAAATAGCATTGGGCCCGCGGGAGCCCAGCGGATGGCAGAAGCCTTGAGGCAGAACAGGAGTCTGAAGGAGCTCATGTGAGAAACACAGAAGGGCCAAATTGGTATTCTCAATGCCCAGCACAAGACCAACCATCCTAAATATTTGTGGGCACAAGCATGAATAGAGAGATGGGAATATGATTGGAAGGGAAGATGGGAGGATGGTGAATAGATGGATAGATGGATGGATGGATGGACTAATGGATAGATGCAGGACAGCTGGCTTTTTGATTACAAAGCACTGGGCCAGAAGAGTGGAGACCCAGATGTCCAGGATGGGGTGACTGCTCACGTTCTCAGGCTCATGCTTACTGCCTTCCCAGCTGGTACATTTCTTAGTAAACTTCACATTAAAGTACCACCAAAACCTCTCACTAAGGGTCGACACTGACCTCCTGCCCTTGCCAGGGAGTCAAGAAGGACTTTGCTACCTTGATCTTTTACAGGGATAGGGGGTCACTTGCAAAGACTACAGATTAACAGGACCCAAGCAGAGCAAATTGCCCTGGGCACCCTTGAGACAGAAGAGGCTGCTTCCCCTGAAGGCTTCCCTGGGCCCTGATGCCCAGGTCTGGCTCTGTGCAGCTGCTGCAGGAGGCGGGCTCACCCATGTCTCTCTCTTGTAGGTTCTCCAGTAACAGCATTGGTGATGGAGGTGCCAAGGCTTTAGCTGAGGCCCTAAAGGTGAACCAGGGCTTGGAGAGCCTGGAGTGAGTCTGCCTGAACACCTTCCAGGGGTGATAATCATTCCCGGGCTCTCCATCTAGCAGATGGCTGGCTGGTAGTGCCAGAAGAAGGCTGCCAGCCAGCACCTCTTCCTTGCCAGAATCCTGCTAATTCCAGCCCTGAGTGCATTCTGCCCTCCTTGTCCATCAACTCCATGTCTCTGGACAGTAAGGCTGGGGTTACCTCTAGTTTCCAGAACAAGTTCCCAGTGCTCTTGATAAGTGCACAGATGAGGAGGGAGCTGGCTGCCACAGCCTTGACTGGGCAGGGGGTGCTGAGTGACTGCTGTACCATACTCTTTGGGCTGCAGAAGCAACGTGCCTTCCTCTGAGGACATGTGGAGCCACCCATGTCAAGGCAGAGTCTAGACCTTGGTGCTTGTGCTAAACCTACCTACCCTGACCTGGCAGGGGCTAGAAGGTAGGGCAATGGGAGGAAAGAGGGATGAGAGCAGCAATCTCCAGGCCTCCCCAACCCAGAGCCTGTGGCCTCAGGCTGGACTGGACAGCTTTCTCTGGGTCCTGGGACAGCCATGACGCCACATTCTGTCTGCAGCCTGCAGAGCAACTCCATCAGTGATGCGGGAGTGGCCATGCTGATGGAGGCCCTTGGTGTCAACCAGACCCTCCTCAGCCTCAAGTAAGTCCTGGATTCCCTCCCACCCAGGGTGTCCTTTTGACCAGAGGCTATGCAAGGAACTCTGGGATTTGGAAAGAAGAGCTGGTGCTGGGAAGCATGTTATGGGGAAATCTGTGGCTGGGGCAGGCTTGGCTCTGAAAACTGGGCACCCTGCTCCTCTTGAGGGCAGGAGATAGTTATGGCCCTATGGGCTGCTCTGCTGCTCCGTACCCATGGGCAAGCCCTTCAGGTGCCCAACATGCTCACCTGCCTCTTGCCCTTCACACTTCTGAGGTCCTGTCATCCTATCCTCTTCCTCCTGGACGTTCTTGTATGGTCATTAGTCCTGAGTGGGGGCACCTGGCTGGCAGCCCTTGCTTGGAGCCCTGGTTTGCTAGAACTGGCTCCTTCATACCTCGGCCAGCACCTCTTCCCTGCCAGAACCCCGCTAATGCCAGCCCTGAGTGCATTCTGCTCTCAGTCTCTGACCTCCATCCGCCTTGTCCAGCAGTTCCATGTCTCTGGATAGTAAGGCTGGAGTTACCTCTAGTTTGGCCCAGGATCCACCTGAGGTTTCTTAAGCTTCATAAAACCTGGGTGTATCTGCCACTAGAGGTCTCACCTGCCTCGTAGGAAGCTCAGGGTCTTCCCTTTCTTTCTTAGCCTTCGAGAAAACTCCATCAGTCCTGAGGGAGCCCAGGCCCTGGCTCATGCTCTCTGCATCAACAGCACTTTGAAACATCTGGAGTACGTGATGGGGTCAGGGAGGGTGTGGGGAAGGGGGTAGAGACTGTGCCTCCTTGGGATCATTTGTGCCACAGCCTCCTCGCCCACCCAGAGCTCAGAGCTGGTGGGCACCATTATAATGGGCCAGGCCCTCAGTACCCTCACCATTTTACAAGGCTAAGAAGGACCTGGGTGGGAAACAGGCAGCCCTGGTGACTGGTGGCAACCCTCACACGAGCCCTCCCCTACATTGTGGTATAAATGACACAATTGACGACAGGGAGATACTCTGCTGGTCTCCACTGGGGATGAACCAGCCGAAGGGAGGGGACTCAAGAGTTGATGTGGGGTCATAGTATTGAGAAGCAACCCCCCAGGGCAGCTCCACCACATTCTGGCCAGGTGACCTGTCACTGTACCCACTGAGCTGAGCCTGGGACCTGCCCCTGGGTTGTTTTCAGGATTTGGTACGACACTCCCCAGGACACCAAAGTTCTCACAGATATGAGCCAAATAATTAATACCAGCACAGACTTGGGTGGTCCTTGGGAAGAGGGGGAGTGGGTAGAACTCCCCAGTGACCAGGGACAGGCAGCTTCAGGACAGGTTCCCATTCACTCGTTTCTTCTCCCTTTTCCCAGCCTGACAGCCAACCTCCTCCATGACCAGGGTGCCCAGGCCATTGCAGTAGCAGTGGGAAAAAACCACACCCTCAAGTCCCTTCAGTGAGTCTGTGCCCCACCCCAGCACCCCATGCCCCTCTGTAGAGCTGCAGGACTACTCCCAAAGGGCCACAGACCAAGCCTGGCTTCGGGACACCCTCACCTGGGTCTCAGGGGCTTTCCAGGCTGCCCATCTTCAAGTAATATGTGCCCCCTCTCCATGGTTCTGATTCCTGAGGCTGATCCTCAGACAACAGAACTATGGTGGGAGATGGATGCCACCATGATGCCCTGGGAAGCCATGCTTTATGCAGGGACTGTCTGGAGAATATTTAAGCTTGTCCCTGTGGTCACCACTAATAGAATGCATGCTGACCCTTTGGGAACTAAGCCTGAGGGGAGCAGCAGGAATCCTCTTGGACTCACCCTGCTATCAGATCCTCTAGAAGCTTCTGGAGCCTCCTTGGCTCTGCCCCTGAGCCACGTGTTCATGTGTCTGTCTGCTTAGCCTGCAGTGGAACTTCATCCAGGCCAGTGCTGCCAGGGCCCTGGGACAAGCACTTCTGCTCAACAGCAGCCTGACCAGCTTAGAGTAAGTGTGGCCTGCAGGGACTAAGGGGAGGTGGGGTAAGCAGGGAGGTCTAAAACCTCAGATACCCGGCACAAGGCTGGTGAATGGATGACCCTTGGTGGTACAGAGCTATCTCTGCCCTAAGACCAGCGGGCTTGTTTCAGGACTCACCTGTTTAAAAATATCTGTGTATCTGTTATATAGAGATATATAGCAGTTTTACTGGGACATAATCCACATACCATAAAATTTGCCCATTTTATTTATACCAAATAAAATGTGTACATGCACACAAATATATTCTGATCCTCAGACAACAGAACTATGGTGGAATGAAGTACTAACACACGGTAAGGAATGAAGTACTAACACACGGTGCAACCGCAACATGGATGAGCCTGGAAATGTACAATAAACACAGGTGTGCTGGGGAGCTCAGGGGTAGAGTGCTTACCATGATCCAGGCCCCGGATCCAATCCCCAGCACACACACACACACACACACAAAATTGTAAAACCAGTACCAAGATCATCTTAGAAGATTTCTCTCATCCTAAAATGAAACCCATACCCATCAGCACTCTCCATTCTCCTCCCTGCATCCCTCAGAAATGAATCTATCTGTCCCCTGGATCTGCCTAATCTAGACGTTTCATCATTCCACATAAATCCAATCATACAACATGTGATCTTTTGTGACTTTTTTTGAGCCCCATCTGCTTCCGCCCTGACAATTCTCCCTCAGCCTCCAGGATACTCTCTCTCTGGATGGTCCTCCTCAATCTTCTCTTCTGTTCCACTCTGATTCTGGGGCTCTTTGGGGTTCTGGCCCAGGCCCTTGTAATGACATTTCCTTTTCTGAGTTTGCCTCCTCTCCTAAGGCTCCCACTGCCTTGAGAATTCCAATGACCTCCACATCAACATTCCAGCTCTCTCTTAAGTCCTGTGGAATTCACACCTTGGCCTGTCCCCTCAGTGTCCCACAGGTAGAGCAGGATGCTGCATTCTTTCCCACAAGCCTTTTTGGTTTCCCATCCGGCTCCTGGGACAAGCTACTGTGCAAGCCAGAGCACCACACTTGCTCCTTCCTCCATTTCCAGCTCATCTCCAAGTCCTGTCCATTCTCCCTCGTGGTGTCCCTCCCCCCCGTTTCCCTCCACTGCCAGCATCCAGGCCACATCCCTACTCACCTGCTTCCCTGGCAGCCTCCACATCCAGGCCATCCCCTCAGGCTGCTGAACAGTGTCCCCACCTGGGTGAGATCCTTCAGTGCTGTCCAGTGCCTGCAGTGAAGTGTTACCCTGCAGCATGGCTTACGAGGCCTGGAAAAATCTATTTCCTTCACACTCCCCAGTCTTTCTTTTTTTTTTTTTTTTTAATTTAACCTTTATTTACTTGTTATTTATTTTTTTAATGTGGTGCTGAGGATCGAACTCAGGACCTCACCTGCCTCACCTGTCCTAGGCAAGCACTCTACCTCTGAGCCACAACCTCAGCTCTCCCCAGTCTTTTGTTTCTCACCACTCCAGGAACTCAGCTCAATTTCCCTGGGCTCCTCAGAGGTGCCAGGCCCTCCTCACCCCTCATTACCTGTGTTGGTTCAGATCTGTCTCTGGGGTACCACACTGGGATAGGAGACTCCATTGGCCTTCCCTGCAGCTGTACTTAGCTAAACTACTCATTTAATTGCAAATTCCAATCTGAGTTCCAACAGGGTAGAATTGCCTTTCCTGCTTTGCACATATCCAGCACACAGGGCATGCTCAAATATAATGAATGCAGACTGATCACTTTACATGCCATATCCACTTGACCTAAACTCAAGTCATTTATCGTGCCAGTGCCTGCTATTTTCCTTGAATTTTGAAGAATGGTGGTTATAAAACCCTAATCAGAAAGAATGGTCTGGAGATTGAGAGCTTTGAGTTAGTTTCTGGTTGGCTTTGAAAAGCATTCCCCTTTTGGTCCCGAACCCTTGTTATCAGCAATTCCCATGTGTTCTTTCCTGGACTCTGATGGTTTGTTCGTGGCTGATGTGTGGTCTGAATTGAATCTGGAAGGCCCAAACACAGCAGGTCCTTGCTACAGTGCTGGCCCATCCCTCTGTGCCTGAAGAGGTCACTCTGTTCAGCTTACAGGAGAACGCCATTGGGGATGAGGGAGCTTCTGCGGTGGCCAGTGCGCTAAAGGCAAACACAGCCCTCACTGCTCTCTAGTAAGTCCCTGTGGTGTCAGGAGCCCAGGAGCCCAGCTCCTTCACCATCCTCTCATGCTGCCCGCCATCTTTGTTTACAGTCAAGAAAGGTGTGTTTGATTATCAGTAACTGGGAAATCAAACACCTAGAGGCATGAATTAGGGGTACCATGTGTCCTCCTCCAGTAAATCCAGGAGATTGCTTCTGCTTTCTGCACCCTGTGTCCAGATCTCCGTCTCAGGCATCAGGGTGTAGGTGGGAGAAGCAGTAGTATTCTCTGGACAGGTCATAGACCAACAATCTGCAATGCTGTTTCTCCACTTCTACTCCCCGTGAAGGGTGGACCTTTTGGAGGGAGGCCTTGCCTGCTTGCACTGATTGCCCCTCCTCTTGTAGCCTCCAGGTGGCCTCCATTGGTGCACAAGGGGCCCAGGCGCTGGGGGAAGCCCTGGCTGTGAACAGAACGCTGGAGATTCTTGAGTGAGTATTCCTGTCTCCGGCAAGTCTTTTGCTCAAAGAAATCAAGCTATGGATTCATAGTGGATACCAATTGACATGGAAACTCACAGATGATCTTCAGTATTTCAGGTCATGTGTACCCCAGCGTCTCTATTCCCACTCCCTGCCTTTTTCCTGGAGTCACTAGTTTGTCCTGCTCTTTGGGTTGGCCTTGCCCAGGCTAAACATGTGTGGAGCCCCTGTTTAGGTCTCCGTGGTAGCAGTGGCAATGGATTCTGGTCTCTGAGAAGGTCCAACCCCTGGTGAGGGAGCTTAAGCACCATGAAGCTCTTGGGTGTGTCCAGGTCATCCCTGTTCTTATGGTTCCCTGTGAGGCTAAGTGCACTGGTCACTTGCTGGATGGAGTGCTGCATTGCCCATCTCAGCCCAGCCTTTCTTGGAAATGGAAAAGGAAAGGACTCCAACAAAGCACCCAAGCCTGGGCTGGCCTCAACCCCCTTCATGTGTCCTGCTCCCTAGAGCACAGCCTGGTTCTAGAGCCTAAAAGTGAGGAAGGTGCAACCCTCACCTCCAGTGATTGCCGAAGTCCAAGTAACCCCACATCCACCTGGAGAGGTGCCATTGTCACTTTTCAGCCTGTCCCTGTACCTTAGGTGTCCTGTTTTTCCTGACAGCTTACGAGGAAATGCCATTGGAGTGGCAGGAGCGAAGGCCTTGGCCAGCTCACTGAAGATTAACTCCAGTCTCCGAAGGCTTAAGTGAGTGGCTGTCAAACCTGCCTGTGTCCTGGAGCAGCATACTGCTGTGCTGGATCTTCCCTGTGAGCTAAAATGCTCCTGATTTCCTCTAGCTACTCCTCTATTAAAGTCCATATCCTTTGTCAGTGGCTTTGTTCCTTCTGCTTAAGTCAGAAATCACTTAAAATCTGCACTTAGGGTCTTGGGTGGGGCAACCTGACTGCTGACAGACACCATCATGGTCAAATGCCATCTCACAGTTGTGGCACCTACAAACAAGTCAAACCCAGAACTGCTTGTCCTCCCTGCCCCCAATAAGGTAATGTCTCCTTAGGCATTTCTCTGGTCCTGATGACTCACTGTAGTGACTCCATCTTTTCTCTGCCTAGTCTTCAAGAGAACTCCTTGGGGATGGATGGGGCCATATGCATTGCCAGTGCTCTGTCTGGGAACCATGGGCTGCAGCACATCAAGTGAGTAGCTTCACTAGCACTGGCTCTTTCCACTTTTGCCCCACCTTCAGAACTGATCCCAGGTCAGGCCCTGCCTTTAGCTCAATTCTGGGAACCAGTGCCCAGGCCTCCCAGCAGCTCCACAGGGGAATGCATTCTGAGGAGGAGCCAGCTACAGACTCATCTGTGGGAGGGACTGTGGAAGCACAAAGGTTCCTCAGTTGCTATGGTGACCACTGCTCTACTCAAGGGAACGGGTGGGTGCTGAGCCCTGTCCTAACCCTTCTCTATTCTAGTCTCCAGGGAAATCAAGTTGGGGACTCTGGTGCCAGGATGATCTCAGAAGCTATCAAGACCAAAGCTCCCTCATGCACTGTGAAGATGTGAGCAAAGCCAGTCACTGGTGGAGAGGATGGACAGATTCCAGAGAATGAAAGCTTCTGAACAGAAAGTGATCTCTGGTCACAATCCTGCATTCTGGGAATGCTGCTGACCCAGTACAAGAGCTGGTCTCCTGCACAGAGGAAAAAAGGGTGCTACAAAGGAGGTCTCAGGCACCTTTTCCTAGTCCAGGGCAAGTCCTGACGATGGTGGATGGAAATTCTGCAATGGCAGAGAGAAGGAGCTGCTACCAAGGGACTTGAGGACAAAAGTCTCAAAGTTCATCAATGTAGGGAGTTGGTTCCACGTTATTTATATCCAAAGTATTTAAAAGTTCCAACTTTGAACAAATTTAGCTGGGTACAGTAGTATAATCTTGTAATCCCAGCTAATTGGGAGGCTAAGGAAGGAGGATGGCAAGTTTGAGGCCAGCCTGGGCAAGTCAGCAAGACTCTGACTCACAATAAAATTTAAAAAGGGATGGAGAGGTAGCTTGGTGGTAGAGCACTTACTTAGAAGTATGAAGCCCAGGGTTTAATTCCCAGTACTAACACCGCCCCCCCCCCCCCCCCAAAATTACACCCTTTTTTCCCCTTCATCTGATGAAAAAAATCATCCCTTTCTCTGGAATGAGTTGCCATCTTCAAGTCCATGAAGGACATAAGTTTGGCAGGGGTGACAGTGGGGACCTTTCTTCCCTTTCTTAAGAAGGAAAGACTTTTGAGTGATCCTTATAGACATAGAAAAATTAAAGGAAATTTGTGAAGATAAATGAAGAATTTAATTCTAAGATTTTGGAGATGGAGACAAAAGTCTCCAAGGGTTCTGCTAGTTTTGATTCACTCTACGTAAGATCTCTTGGACAAGGATGATGTCTGCCACATTATCTGAAGTCTGGCACACTTGTTAGTCAATGCTGGTTCCTTGATGTTGTTATCCTGTGTTAGGCTTCCAAAGCCTCTCCTGTGGGTACGGCTTCCCTACAGAGATAAGCAAGCTGAGCTTCCATGCGGCAGAATTCCATAGCTATCTGTCTGGATTGAAAAGGGAAAATCCAATCAAACATCATAGCACTCAAAAACTAACCAACCAAGAAAAATGTTTATGAAGACCATTAAGTGATTATCACTTATAATTGTGAGAAGATGTAACTGCCATTCAAAATATTTATTTAAAAATAGGTATCCACTGTGGCTCAGTGGTAGAGCACTCACCTAGCATGTGTGAGGCACTGGGTTTGAGCCTCAGCACCACATAAAGATAAATAAAGGTATTGCCCATCTACAACTAAACAATAAAGATATTTTTTAAAAAGTTTATTTATTTATTTTTAAAATACAGGTATCCAGCCAGGTACAGTGTTGTAATCCCAGCAACTTGGGAAGCTGAGGCAGGAGGACTGTAAGTTCAAGACCAGCCTCAGCAATTTAGCAAGGCCCTATGCAAAATTTAGTGAGATCTTGTCTCAAAATAAAAAAATAAAAGGGCTAGGGATATGGCTCAGTAGCTAAGTCTAATCCCTCATACCAAAAAAAAAAAAAAAGCAAGGGCATCCAGAGTCGTCATGGATGTTGACCCTGAGAGGCAATGCTGCTATTTATAAAGGGGGAGAGGTGCCTTAGGAACTTGAAATCTGACATATGCTACCTTAACAATCAAGGGACAAATGGCCAGCACATTCCCTGATGCACTGCCTTTAGGACATAACAGCTTATGTAGCGTTCTTGCCAAAAATGTTCATCTGAACCTAATCATGAAGGAATGATGGTACAAAATCCAAACTGAGGGGCCATTTTGCAAAAGCAGCCCAACCTCTTAAAAAATATCACTGTTATGGTAAACACAAAAGGCTGGAGATTATTTTAAACAAGAGATTAAAGAGGCCTAACAAATGTTAATGCAAAATCTTTGATTGGATCTGCAGGAAAAAAATTCTCTATAAAGAACATTATTTGGAAATTGAAGACGTGAACATTGTCTTACATTAGAGATATATTTTTGTTGGGTACAGAATTCTACGTGACCGTTTTTTCTTTCAGTACTTTTAAGAGATTGCTCTATTGCCTCTTGTTTGCACTGTTTTTACCTCAATTGAGAGCTCAGCTGAATAGATAAGAAGGTAGCAACCAAATGCTGGAGAAAGCCACTCCCTGCAGAAGCTGAGCACTGGAGAAGTCGGAAAGGCCAAAGCTGTGGAGAATAAAAGGGTGCCCCTCTAGGGACTTGAAGCAAGCCTAACTTAAAATTAGAAGGCAAACCCCTTTTTCCACCCAAGCCTCCCCAGCACCCCACCGATAAGGCTTTATGGCATACTGGCTGCAAAGGAGAAACATTTACAAAGTCTGGCTCTATTACATCACCACAGAGCAGGCTGAAAAGGTAAATATGGAGTTGAGGCAATACACTGATAATAGAAAAAGGTTTTTTTGTTTGTTTGTTTTTTGCCTTTTCCCATTTTCAATTTTGGGCAGTTTCTACTGCTGTGTTTTCAGGGTCAGCATGTCACCTGCTGTTAATTGCATCTCACACATTTTCATCTCAGGCTTTTTTAATCTCTGGAAGTTTTGTTTGAGGTGACCCTTGGGTCACAGCTCAGCTCTAACACTTCTGTTTTTCATGTTCTCATCCACTCCATTCTGGTTCTTGTTAACCTTGCCTCCTTTGAAATTTTTCTTTTTCTCTCATATAAAATTCTAGTGGAATTTTAGGAAGACAGAGGTAAATTAATGTATTCTGTCCATCATGTTTAACTGGAAGTTTCCCATTTGCATAAGTGATTATATGCTATTACCACCCAGATGTACCTTCCTTACCTGCTATTCTTCCTGTATCTCTCAGGTAACAAGCATCCAAAACAAAACTCCCCTTCACCTTCAATCATTCCTCTTCACCAGCCCTTCCTAGATAACAGTCTTCAAAGCCTGTCCGTTCTCCTGAGGTCCCTTCTGAAAAATGAACCTAGTTCTTGAGGCCATCACCAAGAGCTTGCTAACCATCTTGCTGTCTTCTGTTCTAGTTTTTGCCAGAGTGATTTTTTTGGGGGGAAAGATCTAGTCTCTGCAGGTTGCCATCTGCCTACAGAACAAAACACAACCTATTCCTTAGCATGACAGAGTAGTTCCTTTGGATACTCCCTCACCATATGCTCTACTCTTCAGCCTCAATGTAATACTTATCACTCTGTAGAAAGGCTGTGCCTTTTGACCACTCTGTGCCTTTGTACATTCAGGCTCACTATGATGCCACATTTGACTTGTCTGTCTGATGGAGACTTACTCAGCTTTCAAGATGCAGTCCAAATCTGACATCCACAGAAATCTTGTGTCAACTCTTCCAGGCAAGGATAGTTGCTCCTTACTGTGGATTCCCATGACAGTATATAATATTCTTAACATGCATGTAACATACTGCATTATAATATTAAATCCTTTTTCTTTCTAGGTTGTCAGATGCTAAGACTTAATTATATTTGAATTCTCCAGTGTTAGCAAAGTAGCTGAAAACAGTAAGTGCTAAAAAATGTTTGGTGCATAGAGGAAACAAGGACCGAGAAAGCTCATCCATAGCAAAATGATCCCAAGGCCAAAAAGCTGGACAGAGTCCATGTGACCATGTATTGCGTTCCTGAAACTGCTACATTATTACTACTCTTTCCTCTGTGTTACATGTTCACATCCTTAGAAAACAAATATTCCCTCTGAATCATTTAAATGTGCCATTCCTTTAACCACAAACTGGCCCAACTGACAGGGTCACTGATTACATTTTGTACCAGTCCTCCTCCTTTCACTCTTTAAGCAGACCACACCCTCTTCTCAAGCCATCTGAAACAGCTAGGGTTCAGTGTGTGATCACAGATACACCAAAGCCAGCTGGCCCACAAAGACCCCATCAGAAATAGTAGAGAAGAGAATTAATTCATATACCCAGAGAATGGATTTCTGTTTTAGGTAAGAGGTAGAAGCTTTGGCTCCTTTCTAATTCAATAAGTCCTGGATCCTAGCACCTGAGAGGCCCTTGGGTCCCTTTAACAGCTGTGATATTTACCTTGAGTGCTGCTAACCTAAATGGGCACATCCTTCTTTCAAATATTTGACATCGATTAATTTAAAATGATAATTAAAGAAATCTCATATTTCTTAATGTCCCAGATAAAATGGAAACAGTTCTTTGCATTTCCCATTGGGAGTCCCTGCTTATGTTTTTTGTTTTTGCATGGTACTGGGATCAAACCCAGGGCCTCAAACATCTTGGCAAGTGCCCTACCACTGAGTTACATTCCCAGCCCCGATTTTGTTCTTAATGGCTACCACCAATAAAAAGTAAAATAAAATAGAGGACTTGAAAATTTCTTTCTATTTTCTGCAAATGCACATATTTTAAACATTTTAAGAGGTCCTTTAATCATATAGTAAAAAAATTGCCAGCAATGACCAAAATGCTAATTTTTCATTGACCTAATCTCACCATTTTTTTCAGGGCCTGAGGTATGCTCAAAGCACCAGGCCACAAGATACTTGTACATCTCTGACTCCAGGATCTGTCACAGTGACTGAAACACTTAATGACAAGGATCAACACATGCAGTTCTCTTTGTTATAGAACCTGCTCATGCAGTGTGGTGTTGCACCATGGTGAGGCTCTGCATGAAGTCAGCGAACCGACTGATGAAGGATGACATGGAAGAGGTGGAACTACAAACTGCCCTTTGCAGCTGCTGCTTGCATCTGTATTAAAAGCCCAGGGAAGTGCTGGGGAGTGATACTGGCCAAATTATATTGTTATACTGTGTGCATGTATGAATATGTAACAACAAATCCCATACGTACAACTACAATGCACCAATAAAAAATGTGGGGTCAAAAAAAGCCCATTATAAGGAAATATCCCAGAAGGAAAACAGAATTTTCCTGACATAAGTCAGGTCATCAGGTAAGCCAAATCTGTGACATTTTGGAAAACAAGTGACTCTTCTGCCTCTCAGAAGCCATGGGGTCTGAGCAGCCACCAGGCTCCCAGCCCACCCATTTCCTCTTCAAGCTAATGCAGAACATTTCAAATTAAGGTAAATTAGCTTAATGCTAAGTGTTTTTTATGAAAGATACATAAAATTTAGGAAGAGAGGAAAAAAGAGCAAAGATGACAAAAATATTTGTTACATAGTATCCTAAAACTTACATGTATTATATTAACCTGTGAAACTTTCTTGAATATATAAACAAACAAAATAATAATACTTTCAAGTAAAAATAATACAAAAATATGATATTAAATGCATTGTATTACAGGATAAATAACTTTAGAAATCTTAACTTTATGATTATAAAATATATGAAAGCTGTTCCATGATTTTCATATTAAGCTAACTCTACCGTGGCACAGTGGCACACACTTGTAATCCCAGCATCTTGGGAGGCTGAGGCAGGAGAATTGCAAGTTCAAGGCCAGCCTGGGCAATTCACCAAGGTCCTTCACAATTTAGTGAGACCCTGTCTCAAAATAAATAAAAAAGGTTGAAGTTTAGTTTAATGGCAAGGTATCCCTGGGTTCAATCCCCAATACAAAAACAAACAAACAAACAAATCCACAACCATAAAGCAAAAAACAAACTCCACCTGTCATTTTTTATTTCACAAACAGGGAAATTCTAGTGCTACTCCACTTAATTCTGGTTTATTTTCTTAATTAATTAACTAATTATTATTATTTTAAATTGAGGATTGAATCTAGGAGCACTCTACCACTGAGCTACATTCCCAGCCTTTTTTCTTTTTTGAGACAGGATCTCACTAAGGTGCTGAGGCTGTCTGTGAATTTATAATCCTCCTGGTCCTTGGGAGTCACTGGGATTACAGGTGTGTGCCACCATGCCCATTGATTCTGGGTTGTTTTTTTTTTAAATGAGAAACATGAATGTATATTGGCAATTTTTCCTTAACTGACTCCTTCTCCTAAAGAGACATGTGGGTTGGGAGATTCAGAGAAACTGTCTTTGTCCCTATATTATGGATAAATGTCTTGCCACACTTTAGACAAGACCAAGGAAGGAGAGTGGAGTCCCAACCGCCACTGTGGCAGGAGTTTGGAATCTCTGAAGGGGTAGCCCAGGTCTGCGGTTCCCAAATTTAACTGGGGAAACAGAGGGGATTTTGATCTGAGATGGATCTGACTCCCAGGGGAATGTCAGCATCCTTAGTAGCTTAGCAAGAACCTGCTTCAAAAATAAAAAAATTAAAAAGGCTGGAGATGTAGCTCAGTGATAGAGTAAGAAATTATGAGAAGAAAAAAATAAAGGCAAGAATTAAAAGCTGATATATAGTAAATGTTCTAAACTATGCAAGTGATTAACAAGCCAGATGTTCCCCTGTAACTCCTAAAACAAGTATTGTGCCAAATTCCAACCCAAGATCTCCTGGGTTCTGAGAGGAATGTGTAATAACAGCAGCAGCCAAGACTTACACACTATCAGCCTGGTTTTGTCCTGTGGGTTTGAACTACTAAGAACACATGCATTTCCCAAGGTTTAGGAAATAAAGAAGGCAAAAGAAAAAACATCTTTGGGGTTTGCTTCAGTTGTTGATTAGACTTTGTGGAATACAAATACAAGATGATAAAGCAGAAAGAAGTAATGCTTCTTAATAATGAGCCAAGCTGGCGTAATGAACAAAATACACGTTAACTTCCTTGCCATCTAATTTCCCATTTACCTACAAATCTGAGGCTTTTAATCTGCCTGGGTCCCTTGGCAAGAGGGTCAGAAGTCATTGTCACTCTCATCCAGGGGCTCAGGTTTCCGAACCCTTCGATTGGGCTTTGCTGGTGAGAGAGCAATGCTCTCATCTTCCAAATCATCGTCATCTTCTTCATCATCTTCCATGTCAATTTCACTGTCCTCCGAGTCTTCCTATAGGAAAAAGGCAACAAATGCAACTGGGGAGCCCACCTTGTCCTGAGAGACCCTGCCTCACTGTTCACTGTAGCACCAGGATTAACAGCACAGTAACCAGCAACAGCTGACACAGCGGAGGAGCAGGGCAGTGCTGCAGTCAGGCATTGGGGCCTCAGCAGACACTGCCGGCTGGGAGACACCACAAGGTTCCTCATCCTACCAGCAACCTGAACACAATATGCAGCTGAGCTTGGTGCTGCAGGGGTTGGCTCACCTCTGGTCACAAAGCACCCCTGTCTGCACACTAAGAGTCCTGGACACTGCTTGGCTCCTGGGGCACCAAAGATCCAATGGATAGCAAGGAGGAAGGGAAGGAAGGCTTGTTTTGGTTCCTTCCAGCTAGTGATGGAAAGCAACACAGAAAATGGGTGCAAAGAGCAAAGTGAAAGGCACACCTGCACCTCCATCATCTGGACCCAGGGAGACCAACTCAGGCCAACTTTAAAAGCGGATACACACACACACAATAATTTTCTTCTTAAAGAAAAACAAAAAGACAGAAACCTTACACTACCATCCTCTCATGTTACTCCACCCTCCTCTTGGCTGAACTCTTTAGGAGAGTTGCTGAGCTCACTATCCCACTCATTCCTCTCTCATGGACAGGCTAATGAGGTTCTCAGAAACCCTACCCTGCTCTCATCAATGGATTCCAACTCAACGGATTCACAGTGCTCACCTTGCTTGACTTATGGGCTCCATCTGACAGAGGATCACCACTCCTTCCTTGAAACCCACTCCTCTGGCCTCTTCCCCCAGCTCTAGTGCCATTTACTCTGTCTCCCTTGCCTTACCCTCTTTGCTTCCTTTCTTTTCTTCCTGCTCCCCTGCTAAGCAAATTTATCTGCTATCCTGGCTTCAATACCATCTACATATGGGTGGCTCCCCAACTCCATCTCCAGCTAGACCTATTCCTGAACAGACCTGAATTTCAACTGGCTATTCCACACTGACACATGGGTGTCTAATAGGCAGCTTACCCTTAGAACATCCACAACCAAACTCTTGATCTGCCCTCCAAGCTCCTCCTCAACAGCCCTATCTCAGGAAAACAAAAAACAAAAAACCCTACACTTAGTTGACTCAACCACAACCGAGGCGGCTTCCTCTCTCTTCAGCACCTATGTCCAACCCACTAACAAAACACGATGGCTCCCCCTCAGAAACATCTAGAACCTGACCTCCTTTAAGTACCTCCACTGCCACTCCCTGAGGCTGAGCCACTGTCACCTCTGACCTGCAAAACCATGCTCACCTCCTCACCGGTTTTTCTCATGGATGAGCTAACTCCTGGCTCTCTGGGGCTGTAGTGTTTGCTGGTCCCACTCAGGGAAAAGACTGGGTTCTCATGGCATCTGTGAAGCTCATGACCCCTGCTACCTCTTTCAGCTCCTAGCTAGTTCCCTCCATCCATCACATTCCACGGCCATGCTCCCTAGGCCCACATGCCACTCCCATGCAGTTCATCGCCTCCTTTCATTAAGGCCTCTGCTCCAATGTCACTGCATCAGAGGCCTTCCCTGACCATGGGGGAACATCCTCCCACCTTGTCTCCGTCACTCCATCTCCGGAACTTGCTTTGATCTCCCTGTGCATCCTGCCTGGCACACCTGAACAAAGGCTTTCTCCCATGAATGTTTTAACAGTGCGTACTGCAGGTACTTAACAAATGAATTTTTTTAAATTATTTTTTTTATATTTATTTTTTAGTTGTATACAATACCTTTATTTTGTTTATTTACCTATGACTGTGGTATATCTGTTTGACTTCTATCACTGGAACGTACGTCCTAAGGCATGTATCCCCTGCTGTATCCCCCAGAGCCCACAACAGTACCTGGCACATGACAGGCACCTAAAATATGGCTGTTGAGTGGCTGAGCATTGACTTGAAGGACCAAGCCCATGCTTGGGGGCTGTATGACAAGTGACAAGGCAGGGAAAGACCTGAGCTATAACTGAAATTTCATTCTGAAAAGGACACAAGCAAATCTAACAGAGACCAGGATCCCCTGCCTTCTTGGCACTACTGGCTCCCAAGTCAAGACTCAGTTTCAGACTCAGGTATGTAGGACTGATGGATGGAAGCTACCTCACCCTCTATGCCCTACCTGTTAAAAGTTATTTTTGAGGTACTTTCCCTGTTTCTTTACAGACTGCTTCCTAGGAAATCAAGACCTAATCCTCCATGTGCATCCTGCCTGGCACACCTGAGCAATGGCTTTCTCCCATGAATGTTTTAACAGTGCACATTGCAGGTACTTAACAAATGAATCTTTTTTTAAATTATTTTTTTTATATTTATTTTTTAATTGTACACAATATCTTTATTTTGTTTATTTATTTTTATGTGGTGCTGAGGATCAAACCCAGGGCCTCGCAAGTACTAGGCAAATGCTCTACCGCTGAGCCACAACCCCAGCCCAACAAATGAATCTTTGTACAGAAGCATAAGCCTCTGCTTCTGTCTCTGAATGGCCATCAGTGCTGTGCCCAGATACAGGTGGATTTCGCAACAGAGCTGGTCTGGGGTCCAAGTCAGTTCTGACACCTTTGCCATGTGGGCCAAGCAGCATTACTAGGGGCTCTCACAGGGTGAAGGCCCAGGGTGATGGTAGGGCATCCATAATGACTTGATACCTCTAGGACCCTCCTCTGCTTTCCCCTTCTAGTTAATTTCCCCAGTCAGTTATCAACCCAGTAAAGCCTAAGGTGATGTCTTAGCTCTTGCCTGGCCTGAGCCCTGGTCTAAAGAGAGCATTTTTACAATGTTCCTTACCCAGACGGGAGCTGAAGACAGGGCTGGTCTTGGCTACAGCACTGTCCCTTGATTTCAGGGGCCTGCTGACTCCTAGCTACAACCTTTCCCATGTCTGGCCTTGGCACTTTCCCTTCCTACTGAGCCCAGGGAACTTAAGGCCTCTCTGCCTCTCACTGTGGGGTCTGTTCTGAGTGGCTTCTTGGCCAGCAGAGAGGAAGCATTGTCCCTAGGAGAGGCTCTGCTGGCTGAATGGGCTGACATACACCAACAAACAGACGAGGCAAAAAAGAAAACCAACCTGCTTCCTGGAGCTGGGAGTCTTGCATTTACCTAAGAGAGCTGGTGCTGCTTCCATCTTTGGAAAGCGAGAATGGAAAGAACAGTAAGAAGGCGAAAAAAATAGGGCAAGCAAACTGTGTGAAATGAGAAATGAGCTATCAACAAGCAAAGAGGAGCTTAGCCCCTTAGTAGGCCAAACTCTGCCCCCAATCAGCAATATACTGACTGGGAACAGACAGCCCCCTGGCTGCCAGCAGCTTCCTGAGCTAAACTAGTCTCTGAGGACAGCCCAAGACCAGAAAGTACAGAACTGCTTGGGGGGCAGGATGCAGGGAGTTGGTTGGGACTCACATCGTCATCAGAGTCTCCACCTTGCATTGTGCCCACGACGCGTTTGCCCGGTCTTCCTGGAACAACAAAGGCATGCAGGAAACATGAAACTTTGGCAGGTAAGGCAGGAAATGGCATCCAGAATTTGTTCTCCCTTAGAAAACTGAGAAAAAGAAGCACACTAAAACTCATTTAATCAGCGTCCAACTGACCAGAACTGTCAGTAAACTGTAATGGATACCCCATACTTCTACTTTGAAGGAAACAAGAAAGGCAATAAAATATAAACATGAGTAATCCCAGTGAGTTGAAAGGCTGAGGCAGGAGGATTGCAATTTCAAAGCCAGTCTCAGCAACTTAGTGAGACCCTGTCTCAAATTAAAAAATTAAAAAAACAGGGGCTGGTGCTGTAGCTCAGTGGTAGAGCTCTTGCCTAGCATGTGTGATCCACTGGGTTTGATCCTCAGCACTGCATAAAATATATATAAATAAAATAAAGGTATTTTGTCCATCTACAACTAAAAAAAAATTAAAAAAAAAAAAATTAAAAGCTAGTGATGGGATGTAACTAGTGGTAAAGTGCTACGGGTTCAATCCCTAGTAACAACAACAAAAAATATATAACCAGGCACACAAGAGTGTGTGTGTGTGTGTGTGTGTGTGTGTGTGTATATATAAATAAAAATGTGTGTGTGTGTGTGTCTGTATACATATATATATGTATACAGTGTGTGTGTATGTGTCTGTATATAAAAAACAAAACAGGAAGGCCGGGGGTGTAGTTCATCAATAGAGCACTTGCCTAGCATGTTCAAGGCCTTGGCTTCAATCCCAGCAGCACAAAACACAAAATAACCATTAATCATGAATTAAAATAAAATTTTAAAAAAGCACCCTGAGTGTTTTAGGAAAATTACTGAATTCCATTATTAGTTTACATGCAGTGGAACTGGCATGCTAGCTGTTGAAATATATCTTCCTTTAAGGACCAATGCCACTCTATTTGGATCTAGGTCTGAGCTTTGAAATGAAAAAGTTTAAAAAAAAAAGTTAAGCACTACAATTAGTAATTCATCTTTCAAACATCATTATTATCTCAGAGATTCTCTTCAGAAGTCAACAGTGTTTAGATGTGACACCTGCAAAAACTCAGGGACTGTCCTTTACCAGGAGGTGGGGCAAGGGAAAGGAGCAAGCATGACCCCTAGCCAGGTCCACGTGAAAGGCAGCTTGGGCAGTGCATTGGGAGCATACTTGGGACAGGCTAAGATGACTGAGCACTATTTACAGACAAAATGCAAAATCTTTCTCAAAGCCCTTTTTTAGCTTCTAGAACTGAACTCTGTGATTTTACTCTGCAGGTAAAGTAGTCAACAGAATTTAGGAGAACCAATGCTTTACACATGCCTTTTTATAGCCCTGGCTCCTATCCATCAAGTGAGAGTCATAATCTCTAATCTCTACTTATGCCAAAATGCTTTTTTTTTTTTAAATTATCTTATGAAATAATATAATATATAATGAAATAATAAATGAAAGAGATAGGCTAAGAATAAGAGAAAGCAGCTGACAACCAAAGTTAATTGTAAAATGATGAAAGGACAATGATTCACCCTTAAATTTACTAGGTAAAAAATGCAACTGTACTCCAAACATTAAGTGGTGGTAGATAAGACATGTATTTAAAGGCAAATACAGGTCAATTTAGTAACATCTATCAAAATTAGTTTATAGATGGGGCTGTGGTTGTGGCTTAGTGGTAGAGCACTTGCCTAGCATGAGTGAGGCACTGGGTTCCATCCTCAGCACTACATAAAAACAGATAAAGGTTTGTGACCACCTAAAATTAATTAAATATATATAGTTTATAGAACCTTTGGCCTAAGAATTCCATTTTTTCATGATGCAGCCTGAAGAAATACTTGCAGAAAAAAGTATACATAAGAAAGAGTAGAAATAAGTGTCAAGTAAGTGACAGGGTATGCCCAAATTAATTAGGAGTGTAGTCATACTACAGAATATGATGCACTCATTAAAAAAAATGAAGACATGGGGAGAGTCACAATGTATTTAATCTTAAAAACAAAGGCAACTTGCAGAATCATACATAAGGTCTGGTCCCATTTAGGACAAAGAATTTTTGAGGTGATCTCTGCACCCACATTTGATTCTATGTGTGTATATGTACGTACAAGCTTGTATGTGTATGTGTAGGCACAGAAAGGCAATTTGTAAAGACACGAACCCCAGCCACTAGCTGTGACCCCTCTATGGTGGGAATGGGACATGAGGAAGACCCCAGGGGAGCATCCCATCTGCATCAAAAATCCTGTTGCTTGGATCTTTGCAATTAGAAGGCAGAAAACAGAAGAACATTTTTAAAGGCTGAGGTGGTCATGTGATCCCTTCTCATTGCATTAACTTACTAACTATAATGGGTGCAATTGCACTAAGAGCAATTTAGGACTGAACATGGGAAGAATTGAGCTCAATGGCAGAGGCAGTGTGTTTCCCATGGCCTCTGTGAGAAATGCCAGGCTATAAATAGGAATCATCTGCTCTCAGGACTGCAGGTAAAAGTGTTAGAAGCAACCATGACCACTGAGCAGTTTAAGAGCCAGATTCTGACAGACAACAGAGAAGAACAAATCTGGGGCAGAAACTGCTTCCAGGGACCATTCATGGTCCACTGTGTACCTTAATATTAAGCAGCCCTGATCCAATCCTGGCCATTGTGTTCTGTGAAACAGACCCAGGAAGTGGCACACGTGAAAGAAGCCATGCTACCTTGCATGAGCACCTCCATGGCCGTCCGTGGCTTGGACAGCCGCCGTTCCTCCAACTCACTGTCGGATTCATCATCCTCCTGGATGTCTATGTCTGAGTCATCATTACCTGGTGGGACACAAGCAGGCAGAATAAAAGAGCAACTCCATCATTACAACTGAACAGCTTTTGTCTAGTAAGGGTCATGCACAAAAATTTTCTGCCCTTCCTATCCTTTCTCTGGATGCATTAGATTTTATGAGACTCCCTGGATCCACTTGTGTAAACTTAGTGCAGAGTTAATGCAGACAATAATGTGCCGCATTTGTTTTAAGCAATTTCCATGGCAAGAAAAAAGTGGGTCACATGTATTAGTTAGAAACACTAACAGTCTGAAATTTTAAAAAATGAGTAGCCACCTAACAAGGAAGGTGAAATTCTTGGTTCACTGAGAGGAAAAAACGCTCTCTGTTCAGTGTTAGGCCATTACCCCAACTCCAGCTCCCTGATCATACGAAGATGAGGAGAAGTAAGAAGAGGAGCCCACTGAAAAGACAGCTAAACAAGACCAGAGGAAGGAGGAGTCAGGCCAGGAGTGGCAGAGTGGGCTGTCTTGAGAAAGCTGGTGACGTGATGACTGGCAATGTGAGCTGGTGTGCATGATGCTGTTATGGGCCAGGCTATATGGGCAATGACCAAACAGACTCCATTTTACACTGAGACTCCATGTCGTATAAAATACTTCTCCCATGGGAACACTCTGCCTCTGTACCTATCAATAGTTGCTTAGCACAGCATGTTTGATAACACAAAATGCCAATTCTTATACAATGTAAAACTGTTCTCTCTTTGACTCCCATTTTTCTTGGGAATGTACCCTGTCAAGAGATTGATTGTCTAGATGTTAGTAACCATTCTCTAACTTGTACTCAGCTAGGGTCATCTGAACCCACTTCTCTTCTGCTTGCTTGCTTCTATGCCAGCCTGAACATCTGTGGGAAATTCCAATGTACCCATTGCATTATTTCACTAACTGCTCAATTCAGCTTCTATACCCCTGCTTGCTTGTAGCTACATCAACCCGGATGTGGTTTTTGCAGTTTTTGCCTATAAAGACCCTGAAATGCTCAGGCTTGAGGCTGTTCCTTACAGAGACACTTATGGGTTTTGTGGGGAGTAGTCACGAGCTGGCTGGCTATTAAATAAAGACTCTCCAATTCAGACAAAATGGACTTGGTACGTTTTCTGAGAGGTCTGCCCCATAACAATGATCTTTTCTTCACTGAAGAAACTCCTTTATAAAAACACATCTTGGCTGGAGAGAGGAGCAGCTCAGGGGCAGTGCTTAGCAATCCCTGGGCCTGGGTTCCATTTCCAGTGACAAAAAAAAGATGTATTTTTAAAAGGTCATTTTCAGTGAAATAGCTCTTCATATTAATTCTTTTTTTTTTCCTTTTTTAGTTGTAAATGCACACAATATCTTTATTTATTTTTATGTGGTGCTGATGATCCAACCCAGTGCCTCACACGTGCAAGGCAGGTGCTCTACCTTTGAGTCAAGGCTGAAAATGCCCGTCTTTATATTAATTCTTAAATACTTCTCTGGATTCTCGCAGGCTAAACACTACCTAAATGGAAACTACAGAAGGAAAGTCTCCATGGTGGGAATAAAAAGCTCTCCCCCAGTACCTGACTTCTCTATATCTAGGGAATGATGTGGATTTTGATGGGGTTTGTAGTTGCCTTTCTTCTTTTTACCTTAGCAGTGCTAGGGATGAAACCTAGGGTGCTGCCTCCACTGACCTACATCCTCAACTCTTTATATTTTGGGACAGGGTCTAAGTTGTGTAGGTTGGCCTTGAATTTGCCATCTTCCTGCCTCAGCCTCCCAAATTGCTGAAAATATTTTTGTACCTACTATCAACAATGAGATTATATACATTAAAAAGTTTACAGCCTGGTGTGGTGGTACATGCTTGTAACCCCATATCATCTGAAGGCTGAGGCAGGAGAATCCCAAATACAAGGCCAAATTCAGCAACTTAGGCCCTAAGCAACTTAGATACTGTCTCATAATAAAAAAATAAAAAGGGCTGAGGATGTGGTTCAGTGGTTAAGCACCCTGGTACCCCTCCCCCCCAAAAAAAAAAAAGTTTACAGGGTAGATCTCATATTAATTGTTCTTACCATATTTTTTTTTAAAAAGTGCTAAAAGAAAATATTTACAAAATAAAACTAATGTTAGAGAAAGTAAATGCAAATGTGTCAAGGCTGAAAATGCTAGTGCAGAACAAGCAGCTCTGTCCCAGCTCGGCCTTACTTCCACTCTTGAGTAGCCGCTTTTCCTCCTCCTTTAGCTTGTTCTGCATCAGGCGGAGAGTATTTTCAGCTTCCTGAGGGAAAGGAAAAACCATACTTAGAAGCCATGACCCTCTGGTAGACAGTCCTCTTCTCCTTTACCATGGAGTGAGCTCTGCTAGGTCTGTGATAAAGAACTGGGAAAGATCTAAACTTTCCTGAGCAACCCTTATAGTCCCCAAATCAGGGGCCCTTCCTCTCTGTGATCACCCAGCAACCCTATGGAAAGGGCCTGAGAGGTGTAGTGGGCCCCACGCCCTCTCACTCCTCCTGCTATATAGAGCAATACAACTGCTGCCATCACAGGTGCCATGTGGGCTGGCAGCTAGGACTGACAGGCATACGCCTCTTGCTCACAAAAGGTGGCACCAACGTTATTGTCTTTCTGCCTTGTGCCACCTCCACCACTCGTTTTGAGAGATGCCAATGGACAGGTCAGGACCTGAAAAGACAGGAGGTAACAGCAATCTTAGTTCCTGGCCCTGATTAAGCCAGGCCTGGTGGCATACACCCATAATCCCAGCTCTTGGGAGGCTCAGGTGGAAGGCCAGCCCGGGTAACAAAGCAAGACCCCATCTCAAAAAAAAAAAAACCAAAAACTGTGGCCTTGATTTGGAAATTAGTTTTCAAATTATTGTTGTTGATGTTCTAAACATTAAAAATAAAGCACAGCAGTGGGGGCTGGGGTTGCAGCTCAACAGTAGAGCACTCACCTAGTACGTGTGAGGCCCTGGGTTCGATCCTCAGCACCACATAAAAATAGATAAATAAAAGTATTGTGTCCAACTACAATTGAAAAATAAGTATTTTAAAAAAATAAAGCACAGCATTCAGGTATGAGATATATTGAGGGAACAGGTGCCATAAGAACCCACAGCAGGAGTGAATGCAGAATGGGAGGAGAGGACTTGCTGGAAGAAGGGGTAAGGGCATCCTCAGAAGCAATGTGGGCCAGGGGCTCTCCTTCTGAGGCATATTCTTCAGTATCTTCTCTGAACCCAGATAAACAAAATGACCATTAAAATTTTTCAATTTAATTTTACTTTTTTGTGGTACTGAGTCAAAATTTATTTTCACAGGGTTTTTATTGTGGTTTCCCAGATAGCCAATGTTTATAACGTCCTGAACTCCAGAATGTACCCATTTTATGCTGTTCCTGAATGGCTGCCCCTCTGCCACATAGCAGTGGTGGCAATGAGTTAGCTGAATCTAAAAAAAATGTATTACACACTCCCAATCAGCAATCTCAGACAACAAAACTGCCTTACCTAACTGATGTGCACAGGCTTGTAAGATGGTCAGCATTCCCTTAGTACCAAAAGTCATCAGGGAGACTGTAGAAAGGGAGACTATAGACCAACTTCACCTTGAACATCAGTTCTAACTGACTATTCTCAGCTTAAACAGAATATTTCTAAGAGTGAAGTCCAATGAAAACATGACTGTAGCCTGGCACAGTGGCACACACCTGTGTTCCCAACTACTCGAGAGACTGAGGCAGGAGGATAGCAAATTCCAGCCTGGGCAACTTAGTGAGACCTCGTCTCAAGATAAATTTTAAAAAAGGGCTGGGGTGTGGTGATGTATGCCTGTAATCCCAGTGGCTTGGGAGGCTGAGACAGGAGGATCATGAGTTCAAAGTCAGCCTCAGCAATTTATTGAGGCCCTAAGCAACTCAGCAAGACCCTGTCTCAAAATAAAATATATTAAAGAAAAAGAAAAAGTGATCACTGTGTACTCTATTTTCCTTTGCTTTGAAGCTCTGAATTTCACATTGATCAACTTGTGCTGATATCTAAAATACTCTTTCCTACATAAGACAGTTGTTCAGTTCTGGGTCACAATCAACCAATATAAAGCAGCACCCAATGAGCTAGTTTGGGTTGTTCAATTAATAAGGGCTTGAAAATCTTCAAGTGCACTGAGAATGTTTAGATCTAAAGACCACTTGCATAATTTGTGGGGATCAGTGCAAAATAAAATGCACTTGAAAATTATGATGTATTTCAAGATGGTGATAGCAGAGCAAGTGCAGGCCCTTTTTAAACACAGGGCTACATGACTGCACAGGTCCATGTTGCTCCAGTTTGTACTCCTGACCAAACACTGATAACACAACATCAAAAGAATCACATGAGCAACACTAAGATTAACACTTTTTTTCACAATGATATCTACAAACTGACATATCACCAAGCTCAAAACAACATGCCAGGAGGAGCAGTCTGCAGAGAACAGGCCAAAGACTCACTTCAAACCTCTCCTGCTCCATCCTGTGATGATCCTCAAGCTGCTGTTCCAGGTAAGCCAAATTTCGAAATTTTTCTAGGTAAACATCGTAGTGCTTTTGCAATTCTTCCTCAATCTTCTCATACTCATCCATAAAGGCTGGTCTAAAATGAGCACATGAAGTTAAAAATGAAAGGTTAATTAATATACAGTGACTTGAAATTTTTATTCATATCCAGACTCCACCATGGCTTTCTTTGGAAACCTTTAATTACAGAAGGTTCTTTACTCTTGATAAGTGCTCAAGACTCATGTCCTTTTTCTCCTCCCTACCCCCTTAATAAGCCTTCCTTTCCCTTCTTTTCTTTCTTCCCTGTTTTCTTTTCTGCGACTGAACTCAGAGACCACTGAGGTACATCCCAAGCCCTTTTTAATTTTATTTTGAGACAGGGCCTTGCTAAGTTGCTGAGGTAGCCTGGAGCTTGTAATTCTGCCTCAGCCTCCTGAGTAGCCAGGATTCGGGTATGTACTACAGGTGGAACATGCCTGCTACAAACTTCTTTTTAAATTACAAATAAGATGTTTATTAAAAAAAAAAATTTGAAATAATCCTGAGTGTACAAAGAACAAAGGAAAAATTATTCATAATCTCATCACCAAGTATGTGTGACAGACATTTATTTTTTAGTTGTAGTTGGACAAAATACCTGTATTTATTTATTTTTATGTGGTGCTGAGAATCAAACCCAGGGCAAGCACTCAACCACTGAGCCACAACTCCAGCCTGGAATGTATTTTTTTTAACAAAAATTAAATGTTGCCATAAATGAAGCTTTGTAGTTTATTTTAATATATTGCTGACTTCAATAAAGAGCTAAAAATAATTATATGCCTTATACAACTCTTAAAAATCATTAAGTTAAATATATTTTACAATTTTTTTTCCTGTGTGTGTGTGTGTGTGTGTGCGCGCGCGCGTGTGTGGTGATGGGGACTGAACAACCCAGGGCCTTGGGCATGTGAGGTAAGCACTCTACCAACTGAGCTATATTCCCAGCCCAATAAATTAAATAAATGCATTGTTATCTTGGCTAAATATAATGTTCCACTGTTGGGATGTACTAATGTTTAACGGGCTGCTGCAAATGAATGCAGTTTTTAAACAACATAAGACTTACAGATAAACCATTACATAAAAACTTGTTTCAACAGGGTGTAGTGGCACATGCCTACAACCCCAGTAGCTCCAGAGCTTAGGCAAGAGGCTCTCAAGTTCAAGATCAGCCTTAGTAACTTAGTAAGACTTTGAATTAAATAACAAGTAAAAAGAAGCCAGATGTAGTGACACATGCCTGTAATCCCAGCAGCTCAGGAGGCTGAGACAGGAGGATTGTAAGTTCAAAGCCAGCCACAGAAACATTGAGGTGCTGAGCAACTCAGTGAGACCTGTCTCTAAATAAAACACAAAACAGGGATGGGGGTTGAGTGCCCCTGAGTTCAATCTCCCTGCCCCTGCCAAAAAAAAAGTAAAAAGGACCGGGGGTGTACTCAGTGGTAAAGAACCTAAGTTCCATCACCAGTACTGGAAAAAACAAAAACAAAAAACAAATCTGTTCAGAACTAAGGCCCTAGGTTTGATTCCCCAATGCTGCAAACAAAAACAAACTAACTCTGTTTCAACTAGTTGGTTAAACTTTTTCTCTTATTCTTGATCTTAAGGGAAAATTTTGTTCTTTCAAAAATACAAACATAGAGCTGGGCATGATAGTGTGCACCTGTAGTCCCAGCTCCTCAGGAAGCTAAGGCAGGAGGATTGCTTGCAGCCAGGACCTCAAAGGCAGCTTGGGCAAAACAGCAAGACCCCATATCTTAAAAAATAATAAATAAGTAAATACATACACATCCACACACATCACTGGGAATAGATATAACTTAGTGTTAGAGTACTTGCCTAGGAAGCATGAGGCCCTGGATTTAATTCCTAGTACCAAAAATAATAGTAATACATACACACACACACACAAAATACATGATATATATACCCACAAACTAAAAGTAACTTATAATCTCTTAAAATAGAATAAATAAACTTGTCTACTAAAGGATATGGGCTTCAGCAGAATGACTTTATGCCTTAAGACAGAATTTGTTAATAAGACCAATTGAGGGCTGGGGCTATAGCTCAGTAGTAGAGTGCCTGCCTTGCACATGTGAGGCACTGGGTTCGATTCTCAGCGCCACATAAAAATGAATAAATAAAATATATATTAAAAAAAAAAAAAGACCAACGGAGCTGGTGGTGCTATTTCAGGAGTGGAAGGAGAGTTGCTCCCCATGCAGTGGAGAGCAATGGCAAGGAGTGAAGGTCGGAAACAAGTGAAAAAGGTGGGCAGCAGCTCCAAGAAAACAGAAGCGCACTGACACAGCAGCTGTCCTGTACTTTCCTACCCTGCTCCCCAGAATCGTACTCCAGTGAGATCCAATCAGAAGGAAGCTGAGTTGCTAAACGTGAGGAATCGTCCAAGTCTAAAAAGTCTACAATCTACTCAAACCAAGAGGTGGGAGTATGTTCTGTTTCTACCTAATTTAGGCAAGGTCTGAGGAGATGAAGCCTAGCGTAACTCCCACCATCTGGATTTACCTGCTCTACCTCACAATCCAAGCCATAAACAATTAAAAGGGTGGCTGAAGAACTCAGCTGTCTCCTAGACCCTGAGACTTGGGTGCAGCATGCCACCCCAAGCGCGACACCTCACAGGGGGTTCTGCTTGCTACTGGAAAAGTCAAAGCCAGTGAACTCTGAGCCTTTGTTATAGCTTTACAAGACACCCTTCTACTTACTCAAGTGTTCACACCTACCTGACGCTCTGTAGAGTCTGCAGTCGCTTCCGATTTCTTTCCAGTTCTAATTTTCTCTTTTCAATTTTGGCTTCTAAATTAGCTTCATCGGAGGCCACATTATTGAGCAGGTCTTTAGTCTTCTGAACCTGCGCCTACATTTAACAGGAAATAATGAGACCATGCGGACTCTTTGAAGATGGCAACTTCTCAGTTCTTCAGACCCAGCAAATCACACTGAACAAACAAAAGCACAGACAACCCAGGCACTCCCCCAAGCAATGATGCACCTCACCACCTAGTTCCAGGAAGAATCATGCACAGATCCAGAAAAAAAATTTTATTTCAGCAGTACTGGGGATTGAACTAGGGGTGCTCAACCACTGAGCTGCATCTCCAGTCCCCCTCCCCCATTTTTTAATTATTCATTTTGAGACAGGGTTCCCGCTTAAGCTGCTCAGGCTGACCTCAAACTTGTGATCCTCTTGCCCCAGGCTCCCAACAGCTGGGATTATAGGTGTGTGCCACTGTGCACGGTAAAAAATATTATTTTCATGAAAAGCAGGCATTTCTGCCCAGGGAAATAAATGAAGATGACGAGAAATGTCTTAATGGTGTACCTGTCCAGCTTGCCTGGCTAGAACTGAGTGCCTATGCTTGCACTGTGGTCTTGCCTTCCAACACTAGGCTGCTCCCCTGGTGACAAGTATCTACTTATAGAACACGCACACAAAAGTATGGCTCTACTCTGGAGGGACAAAAAGAAATATGAGCTGGCCCAAATCCTAACCAACTGCCTGCTGGGATAGAAAAAAGGTCTCTTTTCCTCTTGATGTAACAGAAGCTTGACGATAGACTAAAAATAAGAGAAAAACCACTGTGTTGGTGAAGTCAGCATCAAAGCAGCGTGACCTCATGGAAGGTCAAGTGGTGTGCTGGTGTGCTCCACCCTTTGGAAGGGACCTGTGTAGAATGGGACAGAGGCCCTGGGCAATGGGCCTAAGGAGAGGAGGGAAGGGGCAGAGACCGCTGTTGACAGCCAAAGACCTTCTTATGCTCTGGCTTGAAGCAAGTTCTGTGGGAGCAACTGCCCAGTGATGTCTGTGTCACCTGGGAAGCTGGGCAGCAAGTGCCCCATGGCTCAGAGTGCCAGTGAGCCACACCAGGAATCTAGACGCAACTGGACTGTGTGTGGACGCCCTCCTTACTGCTGTGACTGTACAACCCTACATCAGGTTTCTGAAGGTGAGGTAGGTTTCCCTTCAGTAAGTCTCCATGTGACAGTGTCTCACAAAGGTTTCCTGACAGTTTACCTACAGGCCTCTGAAAAGCTATGGAGTTCACCTGAGAAGCCCAGATATTCTTCATGATTCTCAGAGATTTAAGTGCGTTTTTGGAAGCAACCACAGTTACTGTCAATGAATTTATGGTTTAACTTTCATTAACCACTTGGTCTAACTTCATTAACCACTTCTAAGATGCTTTCTTTTTTTTTTTTTGTATTTATTTTTTAGCATTTGGCAGACACAACATCTTTGTTTGTATGTGGTGCTGAGAATCGAACCCGGGCCCCACGCATGCCAGGCGAGCGCGCTACCACTTGAGCCATATCCCCAGCCCCCTAAGATGCTTTCTTTAAAAAAAAAAAAAATCACTAATGATTCATGAACTGCAAATACTTTAAAAACCCAAGTAGAAATGTGAGTCTGCTCCAGTCAGAGGAAAGGTAGGTCCCTCCTGAACAACTCAGCCAGTATCAACTGCTCTCTAAATCAGTTAGACTAAAGCCTAGTGAATTTATCTGACCTCAGAACTGAAAATTATTAAAGGTATCTGGTTCCTCAAATATGAAAGACAGACATCTGTAAACACAAACAATTTTTCTGTTTTCTGAAATAACTGGTCTTTACTTCATATCCCCTTTTAAGTATCCACATTGTTGTTTTGGTTTTATTTTTAGAATTATAAAACATAACAGGTATTTTCCAACAATGAAAGGAGATCATAAGACATGATCCAGGGGCTGGGGCTGTGGCTCAGTGGTAGATTGCTCGCCTAGCGTGCATGAGGCACTGGGTTCGATCCTCAGCACCACATAAAAATAAAAAAATAAAGATACTGTGTCCACCTAAAATAAATAAATAAATAAATATTTTTTTTTAAAAAGACACGATCCGGGTTGGGGTTGTGGCTCAAGCGGTAGTGCGCTCGCCTGGCATGCGTGTGGCCCGGATTCGATCCTCAGCACCACATACAAAGATGTTGTGTCCACCGAGAACTAAAAAAAATAAATATTAAAAATTCTCTCTCTCTTAAAAAAAAAAAAAAAGACATGATCCAGCTAATTTTTTAACATATGAGAACTAAAGGCACATTCATGCCATATTCACTTGATTCAGTCAGAGTGTTGCCAAGCATGAGGATGAATTAGTATTTTTTTAAATTTAGAAAGTCACAAACTCACAGAAAAGCTGGAGTATAATAATAGTAGCATTTTTTTCTACCCAGGGGAGAGTGGTGCTGCCCTGAAGTCCCAGTACTTCTATAGACAGGGACTTCCTCCTCTACAAGCATAATGCTATCAGCACATCATATGTAAGCAAAGGCCCATTTAGTCTCCCCTCTCATCCAGAGGATCCCCCCCACCCATCCCCTGCAGGCAGCAGCCCCATGGCACACAGGTGTCACTTCTCTGGGGCCTCCTCAATCTGGAGGGTTCCTCAGCTCTGTCTTTGATTGCCTCATTTTTGAGGAGGACAGGCCAGCTCATTTATTAAATGCCCCCCGGTCTATCTGATCAGATTTTGATCATGCATCCTGAGCAGGGATACTGCAGAAAGGGCTGCCTGCTGTCAGGCCCCACAGTTTTGATTTGTTTCACTGCGGTGATGTTTGCTTTGGTCATTTGATTGAGGGGTGATGCCAGGCTTCTAAGAAGGTACTCTTCTAATTAGTAAGTATTTTGTTAGGAGATACTTTGAACATTTATTTCTTAAATATAAGAACCCATGGTTTTCTATTTCATTCAATTGCACTGTAAAATCAATTACTATAATATATTTACTTAGATGCTTACACTAACTCTGGTTTGGCCAGCAAAAAGCCAATCAAGCTGGCCCTGTGGCCCTTTAACAGATCCCTGTACTTCTTCGAACACTTCCTTACTTTGACACAACAAGCTTGTACTTCTCTGGACCCAGCTCTGGAATTAATCACTTTCCCAGAGAGCCCTGTCTCCCTTCAGTGGATAATGGCACAAAGAAGCCAAGATGCAGATGCTGGTTATACTCAGAGCTCAGAAATGTGTGAGTGTGGGTGTGCTCATGTGCATAATGACATATCTACATATATGCATACATTCCCCTACATGTATATCAACTTATTCCTATATTTATTAATACATATACCAAATATCATGCCTTTAAACAATACTTCCAATTTCGGGGTTCATTCTAAATTTCTCTTCCCACATTTATAACTCTCTTCTCCAATGGTGAGGAATTCTGCTCTGTTATTCTTTTTTTTTTTTTTTTAAGTATTTTTTTAGTTGTCAATGGACTATTTTATTTATTGATATGTGGTGATGAGAATTGAACCTAGTGTCTCGCTTGCATGCTAGGCAAGCACTTTGCTAATGAGCCACAATCCAAGCCCTGCTCTGTTATTCTTAATATATTGACTGATCTGGTTGATCTGGTTGAAAACCAACCTCCCAACCCTACTGCCACACCTTCTCACTCAAGAAGGCTTAGACTCCCTTCTCTGGGCTGCACAGGGTGATTACTGTTTAATGATAAGAGTTATTAAAAAGAAAACCTGACTTTTAGAATTTTGTACAACTTACAACCAAGTCTGATTTTATGCCTATTCCTAATTTAAATATGGCTCCTTGCCTGTGTTTATTGAATAAAAGGAATCATTAACGATGGCTGAATACCTATTGTGCACCAAAGACGAAGCTTAATGTGTACTGCTGTAATTTATGCTCCATATAGTTGGTACAGTTGTGTTCCACATTCTACACATGAAAAAATTGTGGACATAAAAGTTAATTCACAGTTGGATGCAAACCCAAGCACTCTGAGCCCAGAGTTCCCCTGATCATGTGTCTTCCAACTGGATGCTCTAGATGATAGGAGCAAATAATAGTTGATGGTGGGTGAGCAGTAAAAGACAGTGATCATTCTATTTACTACAGTGCTGTTTAGTATTAAGAGAACCTGGAAAAGGGCTGAGGTGTAGCTCAATGGTAGAGTGGTAGCATGTGCATGGCCTTGGGTCCCATCCCAGTTCAATAAGAGAAGGGGAGGGCAGGAGAGGGAAAAACTGGGAAATTATTTAAATGCCCAGTGGTAAGAAATTGATTAAATAAAATAAAGCCTTATTTACCAAAACTACTGAAGAATTTAAAATTGCTAAATTATTAAAATGAATGAATTTTTTATTGTTTTAAATATTTTTTTAGTTGTTAATGGACCTTTGTTTTATTTAAATTTATATGATGCTGAGGATAAAACCCAGTGCCTCATACCTGTTGGGCAAGTGCTCCACCACTGAGGTGGAGTGCCCTTGTAAGAGAGACCTGGAATGCTCCCTCATCCTTGGCCAGATGAGGACATAGCAAGGAAATACCATCTGAGGAACCACTGAGGAACCACCCAGCCCCCATAAAACTGATGAATTTATTTTTGGGGGGTGGGGGTATCAGGGATTGAACTCAGGGGCATTCGACCACTGAGCCACATCCCTAGCCCATTTTGTATTTTATTAGAGACAGGGTATCACTGAGTTGCTTAGCGACTTGCTTTTACTGAGGCTGGCTTTGAACTCATGATCCTCCTGCCTCAGCCTCCCGAGCAGCTAGGATTACAGGTGTGTGCCACTATGCCTGGCCAAAATTGATGAATTTTAAAACATGTTTTTCAGTTGCAGATGGACATAATACCTTTATTTATCTATCTATCTATCTATTTATTTTTATGTGGGGCTGAGGATCCAACCCAGTGCTTCACATGTGCCAGGCAGTGCTCTCTCACTGAGCTACAACACCAGCCTAAACTGATGAATTTTTATTAAGAGAAGAAATTATTCTTATGCATATGAGGAGAAAAACAATAGCAGTCAGTAACCTAAGGCTCCTAGAATACCCTCTAAATCCCTTTGAAATACCCATCACTAGGTGTAGTTTGTTCTATCTTATGCAGGTATAAAATACATATTTTTGAGTCCCAGGCATAAAAAACTTATATAAAACCAAACTAATCTTACCAAAATCTCTTTTATTGCAATTCTCATTACTTTTTCAGTTTCATTTATTTCCAGGGGTCTGGCAATGGCTTCTGTTCTCAGTTCCTAAGAGAAACAATAAACTCATTTACATAGATTTTCAAAAAAGGAGTATTCAAAACCAGTGTTCCTAGATCCACATCTGGCTTATGGACTAATTCTCAAAAGTTTCATTACAGGACTGGGGACACAGCTTGATGATGGAGCACGTGGTTAGCGCATATAAGGCTCTGGGTACAATCCCCAGCACCAAAAGAAAAAAAGTCTCATTATAATGTGGATCTCTGATGTAAAAAGACCTCTGCCCATGACCTATAAATGTCCTCTGATGCCAACTTTGTCTCTCCCCAGATCTCAAGATTCTCCTTTTCAGTTCAAGGCCCAACATGCCCTTAGCTCTGTGTGCAAACCTGAACTTAGCATCTGTTACCTTTTCTCCCAAATTTACTTCATGACTTACATTCTGTTCAAACTAAGCACAACATAACTTGCTGTCTGAATCCCTGCTATAAACTTTTTTATGATTAAGTCTTTCTAAGTTGCCTATTACTGACAAATGCAGATGAGAATGGTCACCTTGACCCTGCCGCTAGTCAAGGGGGCCTTGTGGCTATCATATCAGTACTGGGAACTTTGGAACCATGGGATTTTAATGTGGATGTAGTTATTAACCAGATTAGAGACTGAATGTTTGTCTCATTCCTGAGGATCCTGTTGAAACTCTAACCCAAAGGGTAATGGTATAAGGAAGTGAGATCTTTAGTATGAGTTAGATCATGAGGGTGATACCCTCATGAAGGAATTAGTGCCCTTGTAAGAGAGACCTGGAATGCTCCCTCATCCTTGGCCAGATGAGGACATAGCAAGGAAATACCATCTATAAGGAAGGGGCCCTTACCAGACACCAAATATACCAGCACTTAGACCTAGGACCTCCTAGTCTCCAGAACTGTGAGAAATAAATTTCTATTGTTTTCAAACCACTGAGTCCATCATATTTTGTTGTAGTAGCCCAAATGGATTAAGATGCAGCTCCTAGAGCTCCTGTCACACTCTACCTTGCACTTCTGTTACTCTTGTACATCTCATCTCCCCCACTGGTGGGAAGCAGTGAGGGAGGGCAGATATCATGGCTATGGCTTCCTTAAGAAGGCAGAGCTTGATGCTGTGCCTGTGGCTGGCACTGGCTCTCAATGTAAGTTTACTGAGTGTGTATATACATTGTGGGGTGGTGGCAATTGGGAATTGACCACTGAGCTACCTCCCCATCCCTTTTTACTTTTTGAGACATGGTCTCAGTAAGTTGCCCAGGCTGGCCTCGAACTTGTGATCTTTCTGCCTCAGCCTCCCAAATAACTGCGCTTACAGGCGTGCACCATTGTGCTGGCTTATATACTACATTAGAGAAGTACTATATTCAGAGCTCATGGTTTCCTTGGGAACAGTTCAGTCACTGATTATTTATTATTCCCTAAAGATCAGTGCTGAAAGAGTGTCCGGTGGATGCTGGTGAAGTCTTACAATGATGCCATAGTTCCCCTGGTGCTCAGCAGGTCACCAGCTCTGTCTCTGGGTCTCAGGAAGGTGTATAGACACACAGGCACTATTGGGCTATACACAGAAAACCTGGGATTGACTCCCCAGTTACCAGAAATGGCTGTCAGATGTTAGTGGCAGTTTTGTTATGCCTACCACTTCACCTGGTAGCAACACTAGGTTGGCACATGAAGAGCCAGGATGGTAATGTGACATCCAAGTCCTCACCCCTGATATCTACTTCCAGTTTGTTCCTGGGTTACAGTGAAAAGCAGGGGGACAAATACCTTTACACTGTAGCAGAAATGCCAGAACACAGGCAAGACAGTAAGAGAGGTGTTGAGGCTGGCATACCTAATAGAAAGCGAGGGAATGAAATTCATTTACTGTAAAAACACTAGACTGGACATGTATGCTTCAAATGCCATCAATCGTTACAGGTAAGGATTCAACAGTACTTCGTTTCTTCTTGAACCAGTACTTCTCCAATTCTGCTGCTTGTTGGAATAGCCTGGATAACTTTAAACCCTGATCTGGTTCTTAGCCTCTGATATGCCAACTCACTGGTATGAGGACAACCTGGACATAGGGTGAGTCTAAGGTTCAGTAAAGTTTAGCAACCACATTATTTACAACAGACAAGTGCATGCCTGTTCCTTGGTTGGCACCAGTTGAAATAAAGGATTGTAAATAAGTTTAAAAAGTAACATTGATTCCAACTGCTTAGGAGTGACTGCCTGGATCACTGGTCCTAAACTTTGCTGTGTGTTTTACCTGGAAGACTTGAAACTCAATGCCTAGGTCACATTTCATAACAGAGACATCAGAATAAAAGCTTGCTTCAGGAGTTTGTAAAGATTCTTCAAGTGAGGCCACAGAAGCAACGTTTAGGATCCATAGGCTGAGAACAGCATTGCTGAGAATTCTGAGGTTGAGTTCATGGGGAAAAGAACACCATGATCAGCAAGGTTAGGCACAGGTTCAAGGACAATCTCAGCCACATGCCAATATTTGCCACTCCTGAATTAGAAGTTCAAGGTATTAAAACCAGTAGATCTCTGACCAGTAGAAGAGGAGGACCTAACATTTTACATGACTTTCCACATATTACCTCATTTAATCACAGGTAAAGTTTAATACAATAAGAACCACCAAAAAGCAAGAAGCATAATTGAAAAAGAAAACCTGGAAGAAAAAATCTGCATTCTTTCTCTGAACAATGCTTACCCTCAATTCAACCTCCTTGCCCAGCAAGTCATATAGTGATGCTCCTTTGGAGGTGATTTCAGAAGCAAGCTGCCTGGCTGCTTTCAAATCTGCAATCTGGAAGGTAAATATCAGAAGCATGAATTTCAGTTTTTAACAGGCATCCACAACCAGTTGCTTATTATCAACTGCTACCTTTAGAGAGGATATGTTTTCAGCAGTCCCACAATTACGTGCTATAGGACAGCACTCCCAGGACATCTGCTTAGGAAACACTGACCTAAGTACAAATAAGACCAATTTCAGAATATCTGGTGTCTCCAAAAACCAAATTTCAAGCCAATCTAAATCCAGAGATACAGAAAGAAGAAACCTGACATGCTTCCAGTTTCGAATAGGTCACAATGGGTCCAGCAACAGCAGTAGGGTGACCAAATGAAGGGGCAACCTAAGGGACACCTGCCCTACTGCAGCATCTTCAAGGCCTATATTCAACCTACCCTGTCTCCTCATTCTCTGCCTCTGACTTTCCCCCATAGGGTGCTGTGAGGCTCAGGTGTGGTAGCATCCTCTAAGTACTCACAACAGTTCTCAACTCCCACAAGCATGGGGGCTACTGCCAGGAAGACAATGCCAGTGACTATGATGCCAATTTAGCAACCAGTCTTCTTTCTTAGGGTATGTGTGTGCTCCCCTCTTTCTTGAGTGTGTTATATTTCCCAAAGATCCAAACATAAACATCTACCTGCTAGGTTATTCTCCCTCTCTCCAAAACAAAGAATCCCCAACTGCTCTTTTATTTCCAACACACTAGCAAGAGCCTGGGGACATGGTCTGTTCCAGCTCCAGCTGCTTTTCCTACTTGACTGGCAAAAAGTTTCTAACTTGCTTTGCAGGATTCTCCTCACCTTCCCCACCTCTTGACAGTGATACTGGCACTCCTTCTAACCCCATGACTTTAATTCTACCTATGTACTCCTAACCCCAGCTCCAGCCTCACACGCCAACTACCTGCTCAGCATCTCTACCTGGACAACCAAGGCACATCATAAATATAACATGTCCAGAACCAAACTCATCTTCCCCACCACACCTCTGCCCTTTCAGACTCTTCTTTACTTCAGCTAATGGCAACTTAATCCTTCCAGATGCTCGGACCAAAAACTTCAGAGCTGAATGTCTAATACTGTAACTGTTAGCCACATATGGCCACTTTCACATTTAAATGACTTAATAATAAAGTATAATTTAGAGCTCATCTCCTCAGCTGTGCTAGCCACTTTGGTCAGTGGCTTCTGCAGAAACACAGCACAGATGCAAACCATCAGCAGAGCAGGTCTGACAGTTTTGTGCCACTTTGGGATCTTCCTAGTGTCATCTCACCTACCTCAATCCATAGTCAGTCCCATAAAATCTACCTTCAAAATATGTCTGCACCTGTAGCTACTTCTCTTTACCAGGGGCCTGGCTCCTGGTTAAAAAACAATGTGCGAAAAATTAATAATAAATAAAAGTAGAAAGCAAACAAACAATTAAAAACACACGATTTTTCAGGCCTGACCATGATAATTAGAAGGCTTTCCCTGGCAGGCCTCACAGAGGAGAGCTGTCCTGATCCCCGATGAGGGGCATAGCTGATGCACTGGTCTCTGAAGGGCACAGCAGGCAGGACCCAGGCCCCTGGCCAGTCATGCTCTAGTCTGTGTTCCTAGCCTGGCTGCCTTTACTCTAGTCTCCTCATCTGAGCCTTGGGCCGAAGCTCTTCAGGTGCCTCTCCTGGAGCGTGGGGCTCAAAAACACCTTCCCCACCTTGGCAGTATCTAATACTTTTCCACTTCTGGTCCTCCCTTCACCCCACTTCAGGGTCCATAAAACTGCCAGAGTCTTTTGTTGGGGGTTCTGGCTCTTAACTGGCAGATGCATCATTCTATGGGGGAAAATGAAACAGACAGTTATCCCTTCCTATGGCTTTAGAGTCTTGCTCAGACCACGGCAATCAATGATTAACTTCCATGCTCGACTCTCACTTCAGTCTGGTGGCAATGCAGCAGGCAGAGGGATCCTTTGCATAGAAAATTCAAGCTTAAACATCTCTGCTCAAAATCCCATTTTCCAGCCCAAGTAAAAAAATTAAAGGTTTTATTTCCTGGACCAGAGGGCCTCCCGTCCTGGCTCTCACCACAGAGATCCCTTGCTCTTTTCAAACACACAAAGCACACTGTTATCTCAGGACACACGTCCCCACCCCCATTTGCATGGCTGCTCCTTCCTTCCCTCAGATCTCTGAAGCCACCAAACCCATGAGGCCTTCCTGGTCACTCTAGGAAAAATACCTTCCCCAGCACTCTCCATCCTGATCCTGCTTTGTTATTCTCCATGGTGGTCACTTTTAACATTGGGGTTCATAGTCTGACTCCCTTAACTAAGCAACAGGACAGAGGACTCTATCCTCTTTGTTCACACCTATATCCCTAGCACTTGAATGGTTCCTATTAAATATGAGGCTTTCAGTAAAGAATTGCATTAATTCACTGTGACTTTCCTTTTATCAGAATGCTGATGAGCACAAAACTGGCCAACTGCCCTTGGTCAAGCAGTAAGGAACGTGGTGGTGCTCTGAGTGCCACGCACATCCTACTCCTGAGTCCAAGAAATAAGCACTCCTTTAATCCTTACCTTGGAGCCGAGATCAAACTTGAATTTGCTGACATCTTCCTCTCCTATTTTTGAACTCTCCATCCCTTTGGTCTTCATAGCATTATAAAGGACAGATGTGACCTTCAGCAGTTCTTTCACTGCATATCCATCAGCCTGGTAAAGCTTCTTAGTATTGAGTTTTATATGTGCTTTCGTGGCCTGTTTTAAAAAAATATATATATTAAGGCCCTTTCTAAATAATCCTATATAATCTAACCCAAATCCTATGCAGGTAATTTGAAAATGCCTCTGCTGAGAATTGGGAGACAACCTAATAGTATTACGAGTAAACATCTAAGTGACTCATGCATTGTGATCTGGTATATACATTGATACAATCTTGATGGAGAGCAATTTAGTAAGACACCAAAATTACACATGGACATATCTTTTGGCCCAGCAGTTTCATTACTAAGAACTTACTCTAGGGATATACGTAGACACCAAATGATATGCATAGGCTATTCTTCACAGCATTGCTTCAAAGAGTGAAAGTTGGAAGCAACTAAATACCTGTCTACATAAATTACATCAATAATGGTGTATCCATGGGGGGGGGCACTCAAGTGTAAGAGAATGAGGAAATTCTGTATGGGTCTGGAAAGTTCTATAAAACATACTATTAAGTAAAGACAGCAGAATACTACACAGGGGAATACAGCATACTACCATATGTGTAAAAGGAAGGAAAATAATAACACATAACATTTGCTTGAAGAAACAAACTCTGGAAGAAATTTAAAATAGTGGTTACAGGGAATGCGACTGGAACCATGCTGACAGGGTAAAAAGTCAGTGTATTCTATGTAATTTCATGATTTTTAGCAATTTTAAACCATGAAATACATTATCTACTCAAAAATAAACTGGGCTGAGAGTGCAGCTCAGTGGTAGACCATGTGCTTAGCATGCAGCAGGCCCTGGATTTGATCCCCAGTATCAAACTAATTAAATTTAAAAATAAAATAAGCAAAAATCTTAAATAGTTAAAAAACAAAAAGCTTCACTGTGAATTGGCTCCACAGAACCCTGGCAATAGAATGGTTTTAGAAAGTAAACTCAATTTGAAAGCAAATCTAACTAAAATTTATCCCTAATTTATTTAATTCCACAAAATAACTGTGAACTAACCATGAACTGGGCAATGGCCTTAATGAAGAAAACTCGGTCTTGTTCAGTCTCAACATCAGAAGGGATGTCAGTCTGGGGCTCATACCTATGACAGAGAATAAACAAATAGGTTCAACAGAAGCCCTCAAGAGAAAGTGGGCAACTGAAAGGACAGTGGCTCTCCAAGTCTTCAGATAAGGTCATATGGTTAAGAAAAACTTCAAAAGCAACACAAAATACCTAAAGGGCAAACTCCCACCTAACAACACATTTAATTGATTTAAAAATTAAACACGGGGCTCAGCTTACAAAATCAAATCTATGTCAAATCTCAATGTTTGGTGAAAATAATCAGAACTGTACCTTTGGCTAACAGCCCTTGATACTGACCATAGATACTAGGACTAAACAGTTCACCTCGAGAAGGAGCAGAGTCGTTGAAGTTACTTTCACTGAGTTACTGATAATTCACCAGGGCCAGCAGACTGCAGCCCTCAACCTGTTTTTTTTAGCTTGCAAGCTAAGGATGTGTTTTACATTTTAAAGACAAAAAAGTATATTATCTATACACAGGGAATAGATATGTGTAAATATATATAAATATATATATATCCTATACATAAGAGAGCTTATGTAACATGTATTTATTATCTGGCCTTTAGACAAAAGGTCTCTAACAAGAATCATCTCAGATTTTTTGACACAAAAAGAAACCTAAGATACTCCTAATCCAGTACATCCCAAGTACGCAGGGAGGTCCATGACATTCTGTGGTGAAGGGATGAAGAGGAGCTTACATAAATGCCTGAGAAACATTCCCTTCCTGGGGTGTTCTTTGAATTCAGCCAATTCTCAACAGGTCACAAATTCAAATTGTACTAAACTCTTTTGCATCACAACAGTACCTGGTTTCCAGTTGGCTAATTAATAAAATCTAGCCTTCATCCTTAGATTTCAAGTGTAGTCCTAACCTTTTCACAAGCCAGAGCAGCACTTCAGACACAAGCCCAAAGTTGGGTGTGCGGAAATTTTCCATAGAAATGTGTCGTGGGTATCCCAGGGCTCTCATCATCTCTGTGAAATCTGTCCAAGAAAAAACATAATTCAGTCAGTTCTTCACCAAATGGCAACTGCTTATTACCTTAGATATTATCTCTGCTTTCCCTTCTTACTCTCAATCTACTAACAGCTTTAGGGGCTATTTAGCAATTCTTAAGAGGGAAGGAAAAAAGGAGATAAAATTGAAAATACCTAATCTGTTACCAGAAAAACATCTACTCAAGTCCAATGGGAGAAGATGCTATATAGGAAAATGGGCTTTAGGGATTAGCTGTGGCTTTAATTTTTCTCTGATTATCTCTTTACCATTCAAAATAAGAAATACTTGGCCTTATAAAATTTAACAGGGAAAGAATATTTTAAAATGTTAACAGCAGTTATGGGGGGTAGGGTAACTTCATGTTTCTGAGTTGTCTTTTTGTGTGTGGATATACAGGATCTTAATAACACAAATTTTAAAGATTAATTAATTTCCTTGTATTCAGAAAAATGTTAAAGAGAGCAGTTCAATACTAGAGCAATATTTAGATTATCAAACAGATTAAGAAATAGTATTGCTAACACTTGTTGTTATTCCTAGATTGGGAATGCCTCAGGAAAAGCCATAGTACTTGCAACAGATCAAGATTTGGTGTGCCAAGACCAATTTTCCATGTGCTTCCTGACTATGTAATATTTGTCCTCATTCTTCCTGAAGAGGGATGTTCCAAATGTCCCAATGACATTCACAAATAACCTACCTACCTGGGTATTGAGAGTAAGGTCGGCTTCTACCAGATAGTGGAAGACAAGGTTTGAGCACAGGGAAAAGAAGTCACTTTGTGACTCTTTTTTTGAAAATCTGAATAGACAGAAAATAAAGCAGCAGCTTTCTCATCACAGGCATTGCCAAAATACTTCTTCTTGCTAAGGACTACTAGTAGTGGTCGAATTCTGTTAATTTTGCATTTTTCTTGTCAAATGGAGACTAACTTGAGACTGTTACCATACACTGCATGATTGCAGAACATTCAGAATTTTATTCTGAATCCCTCTTTTACACTTTCCCCAGCACAACCCTATTCAATGTCCCCTAGTAAAGTGGTGGCCCCACCAAAAAGTACACAGTAGGAGACACCTGTTTTTACAATGTAGTCACCAAAGACTCTCTCTCATTCCAGAAGATATGATCCCACAATGCTAAGAGGTGCGTCAATGAAATGTGATTAGTCTTCCTGTAAATGTACACCAAAGAAAGAGAATTTCATAACAGAAAAGAGTATTCTCTAATGCTGAAATTACAGGCACCAGCAATTTGATGAGAAAAAGAGTCCAGAGACTGCAGGTTGACAATCACCTAGTACTCCTCTGCAGGTGAGGCCAGTTAGCTTAACGGCTTCAGATTCAGAGAATGACTGTGTATAAAAGACAAAGAGGCTGGGATTGTGGCTCAGTGGTAGAGCGCTTGCCCCGCACATGTGAGGCCCTGGGTATGATCCTCAGCACCACATAAAAAATAAAGATATTGTGTCCACCTACATCTAAAAAAAAAAAAAAAAAAAAAAAATCAAAAAACGAGATTTCCGAGTCACACAGTCCTAGGTCTTAATCCTCTGTTGCAACCAGTTCTAGCTGTGTGACCTAAAGCAAGCTACTTTACCTCTCTATGCTTCAAAATATTTCATCTACCAAACTACATCACCGCTAAAGTGAGGACTAGAGCAAGTCAGTGAATGAAAACTCCTGGTGAATAACAGGCGCCCCTCAAGGGGTAGGGACCCACTCCGCGCTCCACCCCTGCCCCAGGCTGCCCCGCCCTGCCCTTCTGGCAAAGGCGTAGAGTCTCTTCTCGCCAGCCCTTTCAGAAGGACGCGGGCTTTGGAGTTCCCACACGCTGGATCCCATCCCCGCGCGACCTGCTACCACCTGTCACTCGTCCCAGCTACCGGCCTTCTCCGTGCCGCCTTCCTCATCTCTAAACGAGGGACACAGAACTGTCCAGAGGGCTAAGAAAATCATGCATATACACTGAAAAGTACCAGGCAGAACCTGAAAACTCAAAAAGTGCCAGCCGCATTAGCCCATCCTCCAGCCCTCTCCTGCGGTTGCCGCGTCTCCCCGCACAGCGCCGAGTGGACCCGACTCGGAAGTCTGCGCTTCGCAGGCACCTTCCGAGGCGGCTGTTCGGTAACGAGTGAGTTCACGAGGAACCGTAAGGCCGGTCCCCCGGCCGCTCCCCACACTTCAGGTGCTCGGCAGCCACACGCGGCAGGGCACACCGAACTTTCCAGATCAAGGCGCTCTCGGGGAGGGGGCTCGTGGTAGCGCGGGGACCAGGAGGGGGAAGACCCGCGGGCACGGGGGAAATGGGCGGCCTTACTGCGGAGGTCGCGGAAAGACATGGCGCTCTGGTTCACGGGAGCCGCGGTTGCCGTTGCCCTCCCCTCAGCACTCGCGGGTCTCTATGGCAACACACCGTCACTAGACGGCGTGCTGACTGGGCCAAACAGGACCAGAGGCGGAGCGTCGTGACGCGCGCATGCGCACTAGGAGGGCAGTCTGCAGGGGACGCCACGGGAGACGCCTAGGGCCGCGGGCTCGGCGATTTGAGTCCTTTTACACGCTTTCCGAACACCTGGCATCCGCTGATGTGTTCTGAGTGCGTACTCTGTGTTCCACAGAGTTCTAGACGCTTCCCACACGCCTCGATTTTCTCACTTCTGTACAGAGCATACTCTCAGGACGCGGGGTCCTGCCTACAGCATACTTCCTTTCTGACATACACACAGGGCCTGCGCCCGAGGCCATCGAAAAGCGTCCGCAGCACGGAGGAGTGGAGGTTTCGGGTAGACTATCCTGGACCCCGCGCACGCGCAGCCGTCTGGGTTTTTACGACAGGCCGGAAATCGTCTGGCAGTTGTCGTGACAACCTTGGCGGATTCCTCGGGGATGGACCGCAAGGAGGCTACAAGGCCCTGCCAGGACGCAGAGTGTGGCGGCAGTGTCTTCCCGGGGCGCCGCAGGGATCCCTCCCTGGCGACCACCACGGGGCAGAGAGGCGACGAAGAAGCGCTGGGGAGATGAACTGAGCTGAGTCTGGTAGGGTGGACAAGAGGAAGGCAAACCCCGAAGTGAGGCGAAGCGGGGCCAAGGACGCCCTCTGTCGGTGGGTTGTGGTATTGGCCCAGTCCAGAGTCTCGCATCTGTGGCCAGTCCAACCTGTATTTACGTGGATAAAGAATAGTCTGCTGGGACTGCAAATTGGTGCAGCCAATTTGGAAAGCAGTATGGAGATTTCTTGGAAAGCTGGGAATGGAACCACCATTTGACCCAGCTATTCCCCTTCTCGGTCTATTCCCTAAAGACCTAAAAAGAGCATGCTACAGGGACACTGCTACATCGATGTTCATAGCAGCACAATTCACAATAGCAAGACTGTGGAACCAACCTAGATGCCCTTCAATAGACGAATGGATAAAAAAAATGTGGCATTTATACACAATGGAGTATTACTCTGCATTAAAAAATGACAAAATCATAGAATTTGCAGGGAAATGGATGGCATTAGAGCAGATTATGCTAAGTGAAGCTAGCCAATCCTTAAAAAACAAATGCCAAATGTCTTCTTTAATATAAGGAGAGTAACTGGGAACAGAGTAGGGACGAAGAGCATGAGAAGAAGATTAACATTAAACAGGGATGAGAGGTGGGAGGGAAAGGGAGAGAGAAGGGAAATTGCATGGAAATGGAAGGAGACCCTCAGGGTTATACAAAATTACATACAAGAGGAAGTGAGGGGAAAGGGAAAAATAATACAAGGGGGAGAAATGAATGACAGTAGAGGGGGTAGAGAGAGAAGAGGAGAGGGGAGGGGAGGGGAGGGGAGGGGGGATAGTAGAGGATAGGAAAGGCAGCAGAATACAACAGACACTAGTATGGCAACATGTAAATCAATGGATGTGTAACTGATATGATTCTGCAATCTGTATACGGGGTAAAAATGGGAGTTCATAACCCACTTGAATCAAAGTGTGAAATATGATATGTCAAGAACTATGTAATGTTTTGAACAACCAACAATAAAAAATTAAAAAAAAAAAAGAATAGTCTGCAACAAATGGTTTTGGAGCAGTTGTAAACCCATGGCAAATAAGTAAGCCTCCATTCTTATCTTGCACAATATACGAAAATTAAAAATGAGTCGGGCGCACGCCTGTAATCTCAGCGGCCTGGGAGGCTGAGGCAGGAGGATGGCAAGTTCAAAGCCAGTCTCAGTGGGGCTAGGGTTGTGGCTCAGAGGTAGAGTGCTTGCCTGGCATGTGTGGGACACTGGGTTCGATCCTCAGCTACCACATACAAATAAAATAAAGATATTATGCCCACCTAAAACTAGAAAAAAAGTTAAAAAAAAAAAAAAAAAAGCCAGCCTCAGCAAAAGCCAGGTGCTAAGCAACTTCTGGCAAATAAGTAAGCTGTGGGTTGTGGTATCGGCCCTAAGATAGGGCTGGAGATGTGGCCCAATCAGTGATTGGATGCTCCTGAGTTCAATCCCAAGTGCTCCACCCCCCCAAAAAAAAAAAAAAATTAAAAATGGATCACAAATGTATATGTAAAACCGAAACCTAGGGGAAAAGCTTTGTGTCTGGGTTAGGCAAGATTCCATAGATATACAAAGAGTACAACCTCAGAAAATTTCTTTGGGATAAATTGGACTTCATCAAAATAAAATTTGCTCTTCAAAAGGAATGGTTAAATTTTTTTTTCATCAAATTGGATTTAGAGATCAAACTGACATTCGTTAGGGATTCATGAATGGGTAGCACCCCTTCTCTGAGCTAGATGCTGAAATGGGCATGGCAGAACAGTGGAGTTTTTAAGGTATCTTGAGGAACAAGGAGGAAATGACATAAAGCAAGGAGAGGACTGGTTAGCAGCAGGTTGCTTTCCCTGTGTGGGTTAAAGCAAAGAGCGCTTCCTTATCAAGTTGACTCAGGTCAACTGGGTTGCTTATGATTGGTTGCTGTGAATCTCCTGTTTTTTGGAAAACCAGGTTCATTTCCAAACGCAGTTTGATTATGTGGCACCTAGCATCAATGACTCCATTTGGGCTTGATCTGGTCTATTAACATAACCCCCCCCCCCCTTAAATTTTATTTAATAAACCATTAAGAAAACAGAAAGACAAGCCACAGTCTCGAAGAAAATAATGTCACAGAACACATACCCGATTTAAAAGACATATCCAGAATATGTAAATTCTCAAACACTCAATGAGAAGATAATATAATTAAAAAATATAAACAGATGCTTCACAAAAGAAGATATTGGCATCCTTGTCAGAATCAATTGACCATAGATGTATAGGTTTAATTTTGAGTTCTCTAGCCTTTCTGTGTGTGTGTGTGTGTGTTTGTGTGTGTATATATGAATGATATATGCCAGTTTTATACTGTTTTGATTACTGTAACTTTGTAGTAAGTTTTGAAATCAGAAGCTGTTAGTCCTCAATCTGCGTTTTCATTTTTCAAGATTTTTGTGGTTATTTGGGCTCCCTTATAATTCCATATAAATTTTAGGATGTTTTTCCATTTCCTGTAACAATATTATATGTCATCTTGACTGGGCTAAGGGACGCACAGATGATTAGTGTACCATTATTTCTGGGTGTGTCTGTGAGCGTGGTTCCAGAAGAAATTAGCATTTGAATTTGTAGACTGAATAATACAAGGTGGCCCTCACCAAAATGGGTAGACATCATCCAGTCCACTGGGGTCCAATTAGAAAGGTGAAGGAAGAGTTTAAGTGGGTACATCCATCCTCTGTCCTTGGACATTGGAGCTCCTGGTTTGGGGGCCTTTGGATATTAGACTTATACCAAATGCCATCTCTATTCCCACCCTCACTCTCGGGCCTTTAGACTTGAATTGACCCATTGGCTTTCCTGGTTTTCCAGGTTGCAGATGATATATTGTGGGACTTCTTGGCCTTGTTGATCAGATGAGCCAATTCCCCTAATAAATCTTCTCTTAAATAGCTGTATATACACCATTGATTCTGTTTCTCTGGCAACCCTAATACACTATCTAAAACCCATTGACATTTTCATAAGGGTTGCCTTGAATACTTAAGGGAATATTGTCGTCTTGACCATATCAAGTCTTCAATCTATGAACATGGAATGCTTTTCTATTTAAGTTTTCTGTCAATTATCTCAGCAGTGTTTTTTAGCATGTAGTGTTGGTTAAATTTGCTCCTGTTTCATTCTTTCTGTACTCTGCTCATGTGTAGAAATACAACTGACTTTTGTGTATTGACCTTTTTCCTAAGACTTTGCCAAACTTTTCTTTAACCGCAACCCTAGATTGTTGATTCCTTCCTTCTTTTTTTCCTCCCTTCCTCTTCCTTTTTTTTCTTTCTAGTGTGTGTGGATTCTTTAGTTAGCTATGACATCCATAAGCTTTTTGCATACACAAGATTGTGTTATCTGTCAATAGAGAAAAGTGAATGTGTATTTTTTGTGCTTTATTTTTTATTTTTTTGTGGTACTGGGGACCAAACCCAGGGCCTCACACATGCTAAGAACATGCTGTATCCCTGAGCTACGCTTCCAGCCCAGTCTGTTCAAGAAACCAGTAAGCACTTTTCCAAAGTAGTTGTACCATTTTACATTCCCAACAGCAGTATATGAGAGTTCCAGGTTCTTTCTCCACACCCTTATAAACAGTTGGTATTATCTACACACTACCCAGAAACTTAAGGGAAAATGGACAGACCAGTGAAGTGACTTGCCAGTCACCCATAACCACTTTCTTGGCCCAGTCAAAGCATTGATCCAGGACTCACCAAGTCCTCATTTCCCATCCAGAGATGAGGAAGCTAAGTTCCCCAAAGGTCACCCCAGAGAACAACTCTCCAGTCTGCCAGGCTAGAGCAAACAGGGACTTCTTATGGGGTTCTAGTCCCCTCCCATGCCTTCCTCCCATGTTGACTTTGCCCTGGGCATTATCCTCTCCCAAACTAGGGGTCCAGGAAGGATGGAGTCTTCCCTGTGACATCATAAGAGCCAGTTGTCATGGGAGACCTGCACACCCACCCCTCAGGCAGGGCAGAGCAGGGCCCTGCTGCACAAGGCCTGGCCACTCTTTCCCCACCATACTGGCCCTCCATGGAAGCCTTGGTCTGTGCGTTCTCTGAGCTGAGCATAAGAGAAGGTGCTGGGCTGTGGGGAAGAGTGGCAGGTCAGATGCCCTCTTGTCCCAGCTGGGGCTCAAAGCCACTGGGGTGGCCTCAGGGACATGCATACTTGGGAGAGGAAAATGTGCACTGATTCAAGCCATTTGACTCTAGGCTGGTCACTTCCTCGTGGAC